AACTACATCAATAACACGACCTGATCGTCCTCGAATAGCACCTGCTGTACGATCAACGCCTAAGAAAAAGATAAACATTGTCCCATTGAATAGAGAAAAAAAAATATATGTATATTTATTAACATACGATCTGGATTTCGTTCCACCATAGCTTGAATGCATAAATTAATATCTTCAAGAATATGATTTTCCGAAACCGCGAGAAAATCTTCAATTGTTGTTATTTCATCCACAGCTTCAGTTAATAATCTAACATATCTTTCCCATGTATCTCGAAAAACATCCATATTTTCGAGTGCTACTTTTGATGTTGATCGAGCAGCAAGTATTCGTGCAGCATTAACAACCTAATGAAAAAATAGAAAGAATAATTTCACATAGTATTTGCTACAATTTAGATTTATACGAACTTGTGGTGATAAATGTTGAATTTGCATAGCAGCTAAACGAACAAGTTTAATACCTTCAACTTGATCTGACATGGAACACGCAACATTAGCAACCTAAAATAGAATAACATGTATTTTCTGATCTTATTATTATTATTTTTTGTTAATTCTATTTATACTTCAATTAATTTGCAGGCATGTTCCATAAATATTTGAGCGGTATCTTCAACTAGTTGTACATTACCTCGTCGTGCTGCATCGATTAAAGCAAAAAGTGGAACATTCGTTGCTACAAATGTATCACTAACATGATCAACAACTGCTTTTCGTAGCTAAAAAACAAAAATTTGATTTTTTAATTAGAACGACAACAAATTATTGTTATGTAAAATTCTTAGTTTAAAGAAGAAAAACATTGTATTCTACCGATGTTTCTTTCTTTATTGTTGATGCTACATATGAACACTCGATTGATTCGCTTGATGATGATGATTCTCGATACATTTTAACACATGTAGCTGTATGTTCTGGATCTTGTGCGGTAGCGCATAAGTAAACATACATTGTTTTTCTTTTTTTTTATTTTATCGTTAAGTTTTTCTATTTGAATTAATGTGAACTTAATCTTGAAGTTGAGGTCATAATAGATTTATATGAACTGGTAGAACATATTAATCAATTAATAGTTTGTAGTCAGGCGAAATGACGATGAAGAAAATAATGCAATGTGACAATATGTATTTCGACGTTTACTGAATGAATCTTATGACAATTAGAATATGTACTGAAGTAAACGTGCGCCCTTTTACTCTTCCTGTCTTCTCGTTTTCTTCTACGAGACGCCTATCAAACGGGCAGGTATACACATGCATATAATTGAGCACAGAAAAGAAAAGGAGGAGAAAGTGAGAAAAGATTTTGATGAACAACAGACAAAGAAATTAGTTCATTATATATATATATATATATGTATATGTATACAAAGATTTAGTATATATATATATACATGTATATATATGTGTATATTGCTTCGTTTTCTTTTTTTTTGCATGACCTCTTGAATAAAGAGGAGAAACAACATACGAGCAATCGATCAACATTAATCCTATTCTATCACAGTAACAGAGTTTTAGTTGAAAAGAATTTATTTACCTGTTTTCTTAGGTCATGCGTTTTTGTTTGCATTGTTTGAATTTTTGTATTAACATTTTCCTCTGAACTTCTCTTTTTCGACTAAAATCATAACATGCAAAATATTTCAATGACATCATTAAAAAACAATGAACAAACGTTCGTTCGTTCGTTTGTTAACTTACAAATTGTATATATTCATCAAGTAAATCTTGAAGAGACTGTCGTACAGCATTACACTCTTGAACAATTCGATCACGACGATCTTCACGTGTTGATAATGAGTCAGCTAACAATGCTGCGCCTGATATTATACTTTCAAGACGTTCTTCAAGTTGTGGACGAATAACTTGTTCATTAAATTTTTGTGGTTTCATCATAACAATACGCTAAATAAATATTTAATTTCTTTTCTTTGTAAATTTTAAACAAACAAAAAAGATAATGTGTTTACATCAAATTCATTCAATGCTCGTGTTAAATCTCCAACAGAACTTAATGATGAATCTAATTTTAATGATTGTGTTGGTGGTATTGATCGTCCTTGTGTAACAGATGAGATAATTCCAACAGCATCACGAACTTGATTATAGACGAAATCTCGATTTTCACGTGCAAATGGAAGTTCTGGATGGCGTAAATAAGCTTTCGAAGCAGTTAACAACATCATTGATGTTCCTTTTATTGTACCACGTGCAGCTGCTAAATTCTCTTGTTCAATACGATCAACTAAGTCCTTGAAAACAAAACGAGAACATTTTTTTGTTTTGTTTAAGAAAAAAGAAAAATCTTTACATGTTGACGTCGTTGAGCATGTTGGCTTAAATCGATGATATCTTTACCATATTGTTTATAGAAATGAACTAATTCTTCTTGATTGGATGCATCATGTATATGTTGTAAATCATCTTCAACCTATATATTTTTTTAAATAAAAATAAAAATAAAATATAATGCAAACATACTAATCGAATTGATTTCAAAATCAATTGTACATCAACAAGATCAGCTAAGATAAGTAAATGAGTCACTGATGTAAGTAGAGCTCGTGCTGCAACAATCATTTGTTGACGTTTTGGTTTCGAACATGGATCATCAGCAAATTCTTTTGATAAAACTGCCATTTCATCACCTATGAGTTATTTTTGGGGTATTGATTAAAATTTTAGAAAAACAAAGCAGTTGAAGGTTTTCTTATTTTTACCTGTTCGTTTAACGTCTTCCATACTTTGTAATAGATCATTACGCATCTCAGGATTTTCATGAGCGATTTCACTTGCTTTATGAATAAAATTTTCTATTGCCTGAACAACATTAGTAACAAGTAGATGAGCTCGTTTCGATCGACCCTTTTTGTTGTTTGATGGTTGATCGGATATTAATGAAGTTACCTAAATATATATATATAGATATCCTAAATTATGTCATATTATTTCGAATTTCATTTGCATATATGTACATTTTAGATACAAAAAATTCATGAAATTCTATTGGTACCATATTTAGTCTACTTTCAATTATTGTCACATATGTTACAATTCAAGGTTATCTCTCTTGACACATGATCGATAGTTAGTGTTGAAATATATTCGATAGAAATTCACTACGCTAGCAGAATGTTTCGATAAATGATTAAAAACTGTGTACTCAGCATAGAATGTCAACTATTTTTTTATTGAATTTTTGAAGTATCAATTACAAAAAGATACTTTAAAGATTTATTCCAAAATATTTACAACATTTCTGTATCTAACAAAAGCAAATAAATCATGTTTCATATTTTATGTTCACAGAAGTTTCACTAACATGTATCTTTTAATAAAACTAGAATATTTTCAGAAGACGACTTGAATATTGATAATATTAATTAACATTTTGAGTTGTCAAATGAATAGAAAAAAACAAATCGAATATCTTAAGAATTCATTTCATTACATTAAATAATTCTTATTTGCAATATCAAACTTAATCAAATCTTATTATTATTTTTCTTCTCTCTCTATATCAGCCAACGACTATTAGATTCATAAATTCTATTCATTACGCATCATTATTCCTGTAAGTATATTCTTAAAATTGCATAAATTATATTAAGATATCAAAAGAAATATATTGTAAATTCAATTGTCTTTTTTCTTCTCAATGGCTACCTATCTTAATAATTACAAACCTGTGCTACAAGTGGATCCAATGTTCGTTGTACAGACCATGTTTTTATTTGTGCATCCATAGGATTGAATTTAGTGCCATAGATATGTGTACTCATTGTAATCGATATTTATCAATCTATTTCAAGCGAGAAAAAAAACGAAATCAACCAGTGAGACATTTTCCAAAGAGAAAAAAAAGAATGACAGCACAGTAATAAAAAAGTGAATTTTCTTTTTTCTTTCTTGACCGACTGTAATCAACAAATAAGCGCATGTCAATAGAAAAAAAACAGAACATTCGCCAAATTTTTTCGCCAATCCGAACTGCTAAAATTTGTCGTTTTGATTGGCCGACAAATCTGACTATCGATTTTTCTGTTACAAAGAAGCTATTTTGCATATATCAATCCAAAATATCAGAAAATACGGCATAGCATTGACTGGAGCGACCTCTATTAGGAGAATGTAACCGCTTCTAGTTAGTCAATTGAACATCGACATACACATATTCATTCATCTGTTTGTGTTTTATTTTATTTGTTTTTTTACTACACGGTTTTTTGTTTTCTATGATCATCGATTCATTATTCACTCCACTAAGGGTAAGCGTGACAGTATCATATGAGCTGTCTCTTTTTTTCTACGCATTTGTTTTATAAACAATATATATGATTTGACCTTCGAACATTCGATTAAATACTGATGTTAAATAAATTTCATCAGATGAATTGGTAGATATTTTATCGGCTGAAACTAATATTTACATAATGTTAGTCATAGCTACAATAGAAGAATGACCTTCGTAAACTTTACTCGTTCAATGTTTATCAGGGTTACTTGATAATTGTAGGAATATTATGTCAATTAAGTATTATAACCTTATCGAATAATTACAAAAGTATTCATGAAAATAGTATTGATGAGTCTAGGTAGTTCCAAGGTAAGTTTAACAATAAAGAGTCACCATTTGCCGAAACGACTTTATACGTATATATATATATATATATTAGAACCTAAAAGAACAAGAGCTACCATAAAATAATATATTCACTCACGAACACGGTTGCCCTTTCTTACTGTTGCTATCATGGATTTTTTTAATGGATGCAGAAGAGAAAAACTTGTTTATATTTTAGATAATCTATCGTATTGTTCTATTTCATAACCTTGTGCGACGATGATAAAAACGTCGTAATCTATGTTGTGAAGAAAAAGTTAAAACAAATAACAATTTGATTAGGTAAATCAATATATTCTTTTTATAGAAATAATTAATTTAATTTTGAAATTGTATTCTTATTCTTTTTTTTCATACTTCTTAGAAGGAATTATGTCTTCTCTGAAACCAAAAGAAATCGATTTTAATGAGCAATGGCCAATAGTACTGGACACCGTACGTTGTGTCATAAGTATGGGTCGTTTTGGTCATACGAATAAAGCAATATGGCAAGAAAGATTTTTCGGTTTCATCAATAAAAATCATTCTCTTGAGAAGTTCTATATATGTATATTTTTCTATGTAGATATATATTATTTATGCGTTGCCACACCAGACTCTCATGCTGAACGATTATATGAAGAAACAAAAAAGTTTCTTGAAGATCATTGTAAATCTATGAAAAAGGTTTCTTTTTTTAAGATAGATCTTTTTGAAAATTTTAATCGAAAAGTTTTTTTTTCTAGGAAATATCAGAATCTGATCAAAATATGCTTAGTACATATGCTAAATATTGGACAGAATATAAAACTGGCTCTGAACGACTTAATATACTATATGCGTATGAGACAAATATTTTGTAATCAGGAAAATTGATGTTTTATTTTTGTTGTTGTTGTTGTTGTTTTTGATTAGATATCTCAATACTCATTATGTCAGAAAACGGCAAATCAATGATCTAGATAATAGTTACCCACCATTTGAATGTAATAGTGATAATAACGATGTACATCTAGTCGAAATCGGAGAGGTAATACAATAAATAAACTTTCGTCTTACGGTGACAAATGAATAGATCTCTTATACAACTATGAAATATTGGACAGAAGAAAACCTTGTGTTACATCATGGCTAATTTACTAGAGATTATCAGGTCTATAATTTACAGATTCAATTGAAATTTCTTTCGAATCAGTGTTGGATAGTCTTGTTGAAGATACAATTTTTGTTGGCTAGTACATTTGACAAAATTCTGTGTCATCTAAGTCCATTGATCTCCCAAATATTCAGACTCATTGACGTCCTAAGTCATGCATACGAACTTGAACGTATACTCATATAATTATATGAATTTTATTGATTATTTAGATGTCTCTGGATTGTTGGACAAGACTAATCATAGAACCACTCAAAGACAGACTCGTTAATCTATTACTTGAGCAAATATATCTGTCTGTAAATTACTTGCCAATTCCATCAATTTCTATATTTCGTCTTATTCTAGTGATCGTGTATGTGAATGTGTGAATCAGACGACGATAAAATGTGTGATCATGTCATTCGTTGATGTATGTCAACATCGAAAAATGAACGCACTAGAGGTAGACAAATGATATGTTTACAGCGAATTATTTTTTCGTTTTATGAATGATTGATTTAGCTCTATGAAAAATCATTTGAAAATCGATTACTACAAGCAACTGGAGAGTATTATCGAGAAGAAGGAAATCTTTTGTTAACTAAATCTGACTGTATTCAATATATGAAAAGAGTAATTAATTAATTAATTAAAAGAAAGAAAATGAAAAATATAAACAATAATTGTGTTCATTTAGATTTTAATATTAATTGACGATGAAGAATTTCGTAGTCGTAAATTTCTTAATTCAACATCATATTCAAAAATATACAATGAATGTCTTCAACGTCTTGTTTGTGATCATTTTGATACGCTTAAAAGTATATGTAATGATCTTATTGTTAAAGAAGATTTGGATGGTAATAATATCAACGAAGCGAGATTTTCTTTTTGAAAACTTGAGATCTTATTTGTTTATATTCTAGCACTTAAAAATATGTACAAGTTACTTAAACCAACACATATTGGTATAAATTATATGGTTGAAAAATTACAGGATAATATATCACGTATTGGTCATGAAAAAATTCAAACATTGAAAGGAGAAAACGTTAGTTTTACTAAACTGAACGAAAAAAAGACATCAATTTTATATTTCTTTTTTTTTTAGTTATCAACATTATTTGTTGAAACATTACTTGATTTACATACAAAATATATGAATATAATAAAAGAAACATTTACTAGTGATCCTGAATTTGTTTCCTCACTTGATAAAGCATGTTCTACTATTGTGAATATGAAATATGGGAATCGTTTATCAGCAAAAGCACCTGAATTGGTATACGTTTGTTTATTAAAGTCAATTTCATTTAGATTGTTGCCTTTTACTTTTTTAGCTTGCTCATTATTGTGATAGTTTACTACGAAAATCATCAAAAGCAGCGACTGATAGTGAAATTGAAGAGAAATTGCTTAGCTCGATAACAATATTTAAATATCTTGACGATAAAGATTATTTTCAACGAGTAAAATTTTCGAAAAAATAATAGAAAAATAATTCATTTTCTTAAATTCATTTTAGTTTTATCAAAAAATGCTTGCACGTCGACTTATTAATCAACAATCAATATCCATTGATGCTGAAGAATTTATGGTCACAAAACTTAAGGTATTTTTAAACTATTAATTTAATTGAGACAAATGAAATGTATCAAGAGAAAAAGAAAGTTATTATAAGAGAATTGAAATGAATTATAAGAAGAGGTAGAAGAATACTTGTTGACCGTGCAAAGTTTTATGGAAAATGATTTATTTATTTCTAATATAATTACATAGACTCAGAGAATGGCTAACGTCAAAAAAAGCAATTATTCCATTTTCTCAAATAGATGAACTCCATAAGTATAAAACAAGCACTCATATATAATTAACAAGATAAGTCAAAGAACAATTTTTCAGAAAGTGGTAGAATTTGAGCGTAACTGTAGGTAAACAACATAACGATTAAATATAAACCTTATGCTTGATAATTTCGTCCTATCAGATAGCACACAAAGCTTGTTAGATTTGTAGAAGACTATAACTGTTTTTATCTAAAAATGGATTGTTGCATTTTGATAAAATTATTTAAAATTTATAATAATTATTGGTTTATCCTTACACATCAGGTTGTATTTCTATTTTAATTATGACGTCGTAGCTTTTTGTTTTTGATCAATTCAAACATATTTTTATAGCCAACGCAACGCTCTGTATGCAAGAATGAAATTGATTCTAATAAATATGATTTAGTTTTTGAAATACATATCATATTCGATGAATTTATTCCTTATCACCACATATGATGGAAAGTGTTCGAAATGGAAAGGTTATATTCTATTAGAATTTTATTTAACTCTATCTATTGCAAAAGAAATCAATCGAAAAACTAACGACGACGAGTGAATTTTATTTCATCAGCAAGACACAGATTCTTTCACTATTGTGTAGATGAAAGATTTTCGATTTCAGCAACTTGAAATAAAGTCGTTTCGAAAATTAGATCATTTTGTTTTATCTACGAAAACAGAAAATTAGACAAAAAGAAAAATTCTTTAGAATCTTTATCCGAAGGATGCTTTTTAAAAATAACACTTCTATCAATGACGAAGTCTCACGTCCATGATCACTGAATTTTTTGTACATTCAATTAGTTTTTCAACGTCTGCTATGAGAAAAATCCGTTATTGATGCAGAATAATTGGTTAAATGAACCTAGAATTTAAGTCATATTAGCACCTATTTCTAATTTTAAAAACAAAAAAATAAAATAACAACACTTTTTTTATCCATATCTAATAGTATTTTTTTTCTTCGTGTAGCAAATATGTGGTTATGAATTTACTGGAAAATTAGCTCGCATGTTTCAAGATATTAAAGTTAGCGATGATCTAAATACTGAATTTTTGGATTATCTCAAATCTGAACTATCATCAACAACAGCCAACCAAACAATGACTAATTTGATTGGTCTTGATTTTAATATTTATGTATTACAAGTAAAAATAAAGTTCCTTATTGAAGACTTTTACAATCTATTGAATAAAACTTTTTCATTAGGCTAATTCATGGCCAGTTACTCAGTCAGCAGCTAATACATTTATTCTTCCACATCTTCTTGAAAAACCCCTTCATATGGTATGAATTATAATTTTTATTCACTGCTATTCAATCAAAACTTTACTTCTAGTTTGAATCGTTTTATGGTAAAAAATATAGCGGTCGAAAGTTGTGCTGGATGTATAATTTATCAAATGGTAAAGTAAACCTATTCGTTTGATATTGAATAGTAATATTTTCTTTTTTCCTATCAGCTGAAATTCGTATGACTCATTTGGATCGTTCGTATTTTGTTACAATGGGTACCTATCAAATGGCTATATTGTTACAATTTAATGACCATCAACAATTAACAGTCAATGAATTAGAAGAAGCAACTAAACTCAATACGAAAGAACTTGACAAACAAATCATTTCGTTACTTGACGCTAAATTTATACTGGGAAATGCAGTAGGTTTTTTTATAAAAAAAATATTCTTATTATTTATTGAAATAAATTTTACTCAGAGTGCTTTATCATCAGATTCGAAAATATCAATTAATTTCGATTATAAAAATAAACGAACAAAATTTAAAATTGCGTTACTACCTCAAAAAGAAGCAAGTCATGTATGTAGATTTGTTTTAGAAAGATCGCTTTTTTTATTTCCAGTAAAAATACATTGACTTTTAATTAATAGGATCCTGAATCTTCACAAAAATCTGTTGAAGAAGATCGAAAATTTTATCTACAAGCTGTTATTGTACGCATAATGAAAGCCAGAAAAAAATTAAAACATAATTCATTAATTGAAGAAGTTATAACACAATCGAAACAACGATTTTCACCATCAATTCAAATTATTAAAAAATGTATTGAAGTTCTTATTGATAAACAATATCTTGAACGAAGTTCAAGTGATGAATACAGTTATATTGCTTAAATCATTTATTTATACATAAAACAGAACATTGTTTTTTCTTCTCTCATCCCTTTACACTTGCAAAATCGAATTCAGTCCATAAAAAAAACTGCGATTTTTCTGTTCAAAACTAATTTATTAATATTCAGTTTATATCTTCGATTCTCTTTTGCATCTACACACATATATGTATCTATCAACAAGACTTAAATTTACTTTGATGTATTCATATTATTTCTCCTTGATGTGTGTGCAATGATGATTATATAGGATGGAAATTTATTAAGAATGAAAGAGCAAGTGGAATGTTTATTTTGAACAACTTTAAGAACAGTGTTGACAACTGTTTACTAAATGATTTATTGTCTTTCTCTCCATAGGTTGACGTGTGTATGCATAATAAGGGTTTGAATTATTTTTCTACTTTCAGTGTTCTATCGTACTTAATCTTCTTCTGTTTTCTGTTTGTTTGTTTGTTTGTTTGTTTGTTCATTTCTTTTGCCCTTGTCTTTCGATTTTCTTTGACTAAATAAACTTATAAACGTCTAAAAAAAGCATAAATGTATTCGCTAACTATGATCGATAGTGGACAAAAAACAAATTCTATTGACTTCTATAGTTTTAACTATATTGTAAAATAAATATATCGAGAATTTCATAAAAAATTTCAGCGAACATTTTTTCTGTCGTCGATCGAACAAAGTTCGAAATATAAAATCTTCCTAAATACTAATTAACACATAAACGATCATAGACAAGAATCTATTAGACAACGACCAAATATATTATATTGATTTAGCATTTTTGATTCCGTTATGTCCTGTTTGTTAAACAGATTTCAATCGATCATGTTCAAGAATTTCCGGATAATAATAAAATATCGTTTCTATTATGCATAGATAAACAGATGCTCATATAAAAATTGCACTTTTTGACTTATCAATACATGTATGAAAAAAAAATACATATAGCGGAGAGATATCCATGAATGGTATTGAAATGGGTAGTAGCTAATGAAAGTCTATGAAGACAAAGTCGGAAAAACTTAAAATGTTATTTCACCAATATTTCAAATATCGTTATGATATTTTCTGATTAATTGAAATACGTAGTATTTTTAATTGTACTCAACTACGCAACTAATATTGACTCTATAGAGAAAATACAAAACATGACTTTTATTATTATTTATAACTACGTTCACTGTTAACATCATGCCTCGATGTTACTTATGTGATAATTATTTTATATAGTCATTTTCCGGTATAAATTAGAATGATATTAAATATTAAGATTTCATTTTCTCTTTATGTTTTACGGGTTGAATTGCTCCAACTATGTCAAAGATACCAAAAATGTCTTTTTTACCTAGATACCTCTGACAACATGTGGGATTTTTCACATCGAATGAAATCTGTATTTTCTGATATACATAAAAGAGAGAGAGAGTTCGATAGGTTTATATAACAGAGATTAAATATCATATATTCTGACTACAAGAAGATCTTTATCTCTTTCTACGGACCTTTGTATTCTAATATCATTTTTCGTTTCGTTTCTTAGTTTTATTCGCATCAATATAACAGTGATTCACGTATATTTATATGAAATGAAAAATTATACTGAATACATTCATCATGATACCAGAATATTTCTTGTTTATTTGGCTCTTCTCTTATTGGAAAATTTATCCTTTCATTGCAACTTCATTTTACTGGCATAAATGTATGAATAATATTTCTATATATTTGAATGCGCCGGCTACAGTTATCATATATGATAAAATATGTACACGTATTTTATTGATACAACCCGATATTATCTTTTTGAAAACAATTCGGTTTCTTACATAATTTTACTGATATTTCATCTTGAGTGGCTATCTAAATTGATTTCGAATATAAACGAATATCTCGAAAATAACATTTTTGTACAACAGTTTCTAGAGAATGATTTCGTTTTACTAGTTTTTTTTGAATTCCTACATGTTGTTGCTAAGTTTTAGGGATAGATTTCGTTTTCATTTCTATTATTTTCAATATCAGCATGAACGTGTATGGGCGCTGTCTGGTAGATTCAGCGATTGACTTGTTTTTAGCTTCCTTTTTCTTTTATTTAAGATTCATAATTTATCTATCTATATGTACAGTGTCCTGTATATTCCACCATATATATAGCTTAGGGTTTTATTTTATTTTGAAACTCACAATTTATAGATACTAGCACACTATTCTGATTAACAGAAATCTTTAGTTTTAGTTTTTTTTTCTGTGATATCAACATTAGCCTTAAATGATTAATTTTTGTGTTCGAATTTGAGATCAAACTTTTTACTGCACACATTTATTATAATACGTAGATACCTATGTTGTAACAAACATGATACATTAAATGACACTAAAACTTATAAAAGCTTCTGCAGTAGCGATAAGGCTCTAACGAGTAGAAGAGCCCATCTATAGTTAGATCGCTGAGAATCAAGTCCAACGAAAGGTCTCTGGGAGAAACGAAAAGTTTCATTACGAAAAATAACAATGACGAGTAGATAATAGAAAAGTAGAATAGTATTGTATCATGTCAATATAATAAAGTTTCGACTTTTTCCCTTGATTAGTAAAGTCCTTCTATCCGTTAGTGAACTTTGTGTAGAGTGAACATTTTTAGGATCGTTGACAGTCCTCCCTCGTCACCTTTGTTCGTATAAAATGAGACAGAAGATTTGTGAGAGAATCCCAATTTTCAAATATATCTGTTTTCTTTCAGTTTGTTTTTCTCGGTCATTCTGCTTTGTTATATCTGTGATCATCAAAAATCTTCGTTCATTGAATAATATTTCTCTTTTTCTAGCTAACTGCTAAATATCAACAGATAATTTTAGCTTTCACTATTCATTTCATAACATACAACGATACAATTATTGATTTATTATGAATAATCATTTGATATGCTTGATTATCTAGTTAGATAATTTCAAATAAAAATATGTTTATGAAAACTACATCTATTGTACGATTTAATCTGTCATTACTTCATCAGTTTCTCCACTATGAATGATAATTATCGTGGTAACTTCATCATTCTATGATTGGCTAGAATTTTTAGCGAATCATATTTGCCAAAAGTAAAAAACACTCGATGATATGATGATGATCGGTAATAATTTTTTTTTCTATAATCATCATCAACAGTTGTTTATTGTTATTTTTTTATTTTTTTAAATTCTATTCATTAAAATTTTTTATTCAATATTTTAGATGGCAGATAGTATGCAAGAAGAAAGCAATCATTATGATGTTAAACAATGGCAACATTGTTCACTATTTAATTTAGATTTATTTAATGATGAACATGATCATTTAAATATAAATAAAGATATAATTAACAATATCAATATTGATGGATGTTGTTGTTCATTATCAACACCAAATGTTGATGATTCATCTCGAAAAAAATATTTAAATCATTCATGTTCATTTGCTGTTCTACAAAAAAATTATACAACTCAACTTGAACATGTTGCTGAAAAATTACTATCAAATGAAACTAGTACAATAAATCATTGTTGTTGCTGTTCAATATATGAAACAAATGATACTAAAGCACAATCACTTAATCGAAAGATTCTTCTTGGTTCAACAGCTATTCTTGATAATTTCCTTCGAAATAATCTTAAAACATCGTTACTTACTAATTCAAATAATCCTTCATCATCTTCATCAGCAGCAACAACAACAGCAACAACAACAACAAATATCAATATAACATCAACAGTTACTGCTAGTAGTAATAATCCAAGACGATGGCATTCCGAACGAGGTAGTCGTCATACAAATGTTCGTGCTAATTTACCATTAACAATAGCTCAACGTCAAGTGCTCGAACGCTATATGAATTATCCAATTATTAAGCGACCAACAAACATTCATTCGAATCATCGATCACATCATCGTCAACCAATAACAGGAAAAGTTATTGAAAATACTGGAGCAGCTCTTTCTACTCTTACTGAACAATCATTAAACACAACAACACCAATGGTTAATACTACGATGCATGTTCGAAAAAATAGTACATCATTAAATAATACACATCAACGTCAAGTCTGTTCAAATTTATCATCAACTACAGCTCATCATAGTACATTAAATAGACAATTGTTTCTGGTTGATAAAATGGAAGATTCACAAAATGATAATAACCATGAACATCAGTCAATATCATCATCGCAACTTGATGAACATCATGAATTATCAATTCTACCCGAAACATTAAATTCTCATTCGAATTTATCTGAAACATTATCTCCATGTACGATTTGTTGCGAATTGAAATGTTTACAAAAACGACCATGTTGCAATTTTTATGTCTGTTCAACATGTATAAGTGTTTATGTTGAACAAAAGATAGAACAAGGTATGATTAGTATACAATGTCCAAATCAACAATGTCATATGTTTATGCATCGAGACGAAATACATAAACGTTGCATATCACCAGAAATACGACAGAAATTCACACGATTTTTAATTGAGAATAATCGTTCAATCAATATCAAAACATGTCCAAGATGTTCAAATATACATGAAATAGGTATTAAGGAAATACAAGTGATTTTTTGACTATATAGAACTAATACTTTTTAATTATAGATGTTGAATTATGTCGATCAATGCGACAAGCACCAACAAAAGTTCAATGCGTAGAATGTAATTTAATTTGGTGTTTTCAATGTCATTCACCATGGCATGATGGCATACAATGTAAAGAATTTCGTCGTGGTGATCGAATGTTAAAAAAATGGGCCAGTGAAGTCCACTATGGACAACATAATGCACAACAGTGTCCATCATGCAAAGTGAATATCTTAATCTTATCAGTTAACTTTTATTTATTTATTTATTTATTATAGGTTTATATTCAAAGAACTAATGGATGTGATCATATAGTTTGTCTTCGCTGTAAAACTGAATTTTGTTATAAATGTGGCGATCGTTTTCGCGATATTAAATTTATAGGTTTGTATTTAAATTTCCTTTTACAACATTGACTGAAGTTCAATTGAATAAAAGGTTTTAGGTTACAGAGAAGTTGTATGAGAGAGGTTATGATAAACGTTTCAATCTTATGTCATGTTTTTTTTCTTACGCTTAAAAAGCATTTTTCTTAAAAATAGTTCACCTTAAAGATTTAGTTTCGATACATTTGAAATAGTATCTCAAATTAGAGTACCTTTGTCTTTTAAAACTTTTTTGTGCGAATAACAGAAATGATATATTTAAAAAGTCATAAAATATTGTATTTTCATATAAATATGAGAAACATCAACACTAATTACAATATAGTCTTCTCAGATAATCTACGATGTAGGTTAAAAAAAAGCCATCTCATTTTAAGTACAAAATGACATCAAAACTTATCAGTCCTTAGCATACATTCATCTCAACAATATGAAGTAAATAATCTAATATTTGAACTTGATTTGTTCTAGGCGATCATTATAGTGAATTGAGTGTTCTTGGTTGCAAATATCGCTTTTATCCAGATAATCCATTAAAACGTCGACTTATACGTGGTTCAATTCTCGGTGGAAAGATTCTGGCTGCACCAATCGTTTTGTGTTTAGCAGTTGTAACTGGTGCCGTGTGTGCTAGTATTGGCTTTCCAGCTTATTGTTGTTTTATGCTTGTTCGACAAATTAAAGTAGAAATCTTGTTTTCGTTAAATATTTCTACAATTGGAATTCATATTTTCAGGCTAGCCGACGAAAACATCGTCTTGCAACAGCAAAAGAACCTGTTTTAATGAGTTGTAAGTTTTAAATCAAATCTTCTAGAAATAAATGATTTAATTTTTATTTCAGATAAAGCATTGAATAATACTGTACCACAATTAATTCCACGCGAGCCGATAAATATGAACGGTATTAAACCAGGATTTAATTCAATTCGATCAATTATTCCCAATCATAATGGTATTGAAATCGATCTACCGAGTAATGCACCAATTGCTATTTTTGATGGTAAAAATATTTCAATTTAATATTTTATGCAAAGGTTCACTTGTTTGTTTTTTAGAATGTGATATTCATATTTCAACAAATCAAAAAGTTTCATTATGAAAATAAAACTTTCCTTTTCAATATTTTTCTTTCTTCTCCAGATGAGCTAACGATAAATCCCATAGATTCATCATCAATTCATTTTCCCACATTAATCTCATTTACAAGATTGCGCACATCAATCTCAAAATCAAATGAACAATAAAGAAAAATTCTCGTCCATCTATTTTGTTTTAATTTTAAGAGAAATTATTTTATTGTAACAGATAGTTTGTATATATATATATTTTATTTATTTATGTATCCATATAACTTCTAATGATTCAGTTTCATCCTAGTCACTTGTCGTAGTTCTATTTTATGCAGTATGTTTCTTCTTTTGTTTTCTTTGTTCTTCAAAAAAAAAAAAACAGTATGTTCAGCTTTTGCTGTTGTATTTAATTATTATAACTACATATAAATATAATATTTTTTTTTCTATATAAAAACAACAAAGATGATTTTTAAACATTTTCGGATCTATAAAAATATTTGCTTCTGTCGCCATTCATCATCACTATCAACAATATTTGCTTTAGCAACTGGTCCTCAACTACGCAGTGGTGTAGCTATTATTCGCGTATCCGGTTCGTTGGCAACACAATCATTGTTAAAATTAACAAGAGAAACTAAGCTAGAAAAGTTTAAACCCAAACAATTATATGTAGGAAAGATTTATCATCATAAAACAAATGATTTAATCGATCAATGTATGACTGTATGGTTTAAAGGTAAAACTTATTGTTTATTCACAAACAAAATTATATATATAGAAATTCATTGATTTTCTTAGGGCCAAAAAGTTTTACAGGCGAAGATGTTGTCGAATTGTAAATATGAAAATAGAGTGAAAATTTCAATTAGAATTTTGGTTACATTTTAGTCATATTCATGGATCAAAAGCTGTTGTAGGTGCAATATTTTCAGCGCTTAGTTCATTTCCAAATTATCGTCTAGCCGAACCTGGTGAATTTAGTAAACGGTAATAAATCTGTTTTTCTTATATATATAGTACTATGAAAATAAATTAGTTAATTTAAGATATATTTAGAGCTTATTTAAACGGTCGTTTGGATCTAACTGAAGCAGAAGGTTTAATTGATTTAATTAATGCTCAAACTGAACAACAACGTAAACAATCATTATATCAAATGCAAGGTTCATTAAAAGAACTATATGAACGTTGGCGATTAGATTTAGTCAAGTCTTTAGCACATGCTGAAGCTTATATTGATTTTCATGAAGATCAACATATTGAAAATGATATTTTGTCAGATGGTAAATTCGAATTGAATTCAATTTATTCAACAACTTGATTTTGTGTTGTTGTAGTTATTAATACAGTTAAAGCAGCTTATAATGCCATGTCAATACATTTACAAGATCAGCGTCGTGGAGAAATTTTACGTGATGGTTGTCGAGTTGCTATTCTAGGCGCACCTAATGCTGGAAAAGTAGGAAAATAATCAATTGAAAATGTGTCTAACTGAAAATATTTTCTTTTTAGAGTTCACTACTGAATATTTTGAGTAAGTACTGTCGATATTATTTCTTAATCTGATGAGTAGAACCGAATCGATGTAAAATTGCAATACAGTGCTGTGAAGACTTGATACCATTCTTGTGAATTTCATGTCTTGAGTGAAGAACGATTTCCTAGTTATTAATAAAATTTTAGAAATTAAAAATTTGCAGGATACACTAGAGTCCTGCGGGAACAACTTTTATTGTTCCCGTTCCCGCGTTCACGTTCCCGTAATGCATTTACAACTTATATGGCCATTTCATTGTGTTTGATTAAAAGGCCTGTTTTTGTGCCCCATGCTGGGTAACCGCGATATCAGGTGTTTCACAATGTGGCATGGGATAAATTTAGAATAAATTTACGATTGGATATTCGTCTGATGAATCATATAGCTAGATTCCCCATTTCCAATCAATTTACTTTCTTTCGTTGAGCTTTATATGCACCAAATTTTATACATGTCGACAGCACAACCGCCTAAATCAACGTTATTTAAAGTTGAAATTCAAATATTAGTAACATCAAATGATCCATCAATTTCGTTTGCAAAACCAGCAAATGCTAAAAGTGAAGTTTGGACAGACTCTTCAAAAGTTCATTATAAAAATGAAGGTCTTGATTATATAATATGTCCACCATGTAGATATGTATGTATTTCAATTCATATAGATCTGATAGAAAAACTTTCGGGAATAACAATTTATAATGCTGTTCCCGGTTCCTGCGGGAAACGGGACGGGGAAAAATCGTTCCCGCAAGATTCTAGGATACGCTCACAACTTTTGTAGAAGTTTAATTATTCAAAATTGTTTTTTTTTGACGTATTTCACTATCAACTTGCAATGTTTTTCAGTAATGTATAGTTAAAATAGATTGAATAAAACATAATTTAATTAAAAAATTATAAATAAAATTTTACTTTACAAAAGTAAAGTTTTGTCTGAATAGCATATCGATGATAAATTTTAATAGAAATATAAGCTTTTTTTTATCATTTTCTTGTGGAATCCATAGTTAGCTCTCATATTTCAACTATATATAGTAGATTTTCGTTATTATAAATAAGTTTCGTTACTAGCAACTTCTTTTTTTGAAATAGACTTCAGTTTGTTTAATTGTCATGAATAATTATCAAAAATTTAATGACAGGATAAAGTGTTCTCGTCGCATTTTTATCAATGATTTTAAAACACAAGGAATCCTTTTTTCATTCATTCTACAGTTATCTATTTTTGGATTTCAAGGCTTAACTGTTTTCCTCATTGAACATTTGATCGTTATATTTTTAGCACAAAAACCAACAGCGATTGTTTCACCTATTGCTGGCACAACACGAGATGTTATCGAGTCAACAATCGATTTAGGTGGATATCCAATAGTGATTTGTGATACAGCAGGTTTAAGAATAACAGATGATCCCATTGAAAATGAAGGAGTTTTAAGAGCTGTTGATCGGTTAGTTGACTCAGAACAAAGACGTATTTTTAATGAAGCATAATCTTCGTTGTTATCTTTTCTATAGAGCAAATACCTGTGATCTTTTGATTATTGTTGTTGATATTAATATGTTATCTCTTCATGATAATCTAAATGAACAGATCGATAAACATTTATCTGATTTATTTACAATAAAATCATCTTCATTTAATTCTCTAACAAAATTAATTCTATTGAATAAAATTGATTTAACCAATGAAAATATTCGACTGAAATTTCAACAATTAAATGATAATATTATACCTATATCATGTACTTCAGGTGTTAATATAGAAGAATTTCTTTCGAAATTAACTAAATCAATTGCCGAAAAGTAAAGTCTTATTATCACTAGTTTTCGCTAGATGATTTTGTATCGTTTAGATGTACTGAACCATCATTTACAACACCTTATTTAACGAATGAACGTCATCGAATGTATTTAGCACGCACAGTTGATGACCTGTCAATGTTTCTAACATTTATTAACAATAATCAAGATCTCGTTCTAGCTGTTGAATATCTTCGTCTTGCTATTCGATCACTTGGCACAGTGACTGGTGTTGTTTATACAGAAGAATTACTTGATGTTATTTTTCGTGATTTTTGTATTGGAAAATAAAAAGAAAATAACATTGTTTTAGAATAAATAACTATTTGTTGACTTTGTTATTATTTCGTTTTAGTTAATAGGAAATATTAATAATCATGTCGATGATTACCAATTTATTATCATTCAGATCATCGACTTATTTAGCAAGAAATATTATTCGATCAACTAGTTTGTTAACACAAAATCGTTTTTTATCATCGACATTACCGCCATCAAATAAAGCCGACAACAAAAATAGTACTCTACCGAATGAATTACCATTATCGGAAAAGAGAAAAGCTAAATTTAATATTTCATGGAAAAGTAAGTCAAGTTTATAGATAATATTATAAATTATTTTAACGTCTATACTATTGATCTAATGTATAATTCGAAATTCTATTTTCATTTTTTCTGATTGAAAAGGAGAAGTAGATAAAAATTAATGGCTTCCATAATGTAGATTGGATTACGATTCATTTTTTAGCTATTTCAAACTATGCGGAAACGATTCATATCATTTTCGAGTCATTTCTCATGCAAAATGTTCTCTGAAACTGACCCTTGATATATTTATCTTTTAGTATACCTTCGTTTTAATTCATCTATTTTAAATTTTCAATACATACTGTTGTTTCTCGTCATTGTTCTCATATGTAACAGATTGGAAAGATGATGGTTAATATTATTCGTTTATGTTTTTAGCTGTATCTGTAACTTTGCTTGGCGCTGCTTCATTGATGGGTTTCATTTATTATCTTGATCAACGTAAAGTAAAAAATCGTAAAAAACTTCAACGTGCCGCAGTTGGTAAAATGGCTATTGGTGGTCCATTTTCATTGATAACACACGAAAAAAAGCCTATCACAGATAAAGATTTTCGTGGCCAATGGTTATTGATTTATTTTGGATTTACTCATTGTCCAGATATATGTCCTGAAGAGTTAGAAAAATTAGCTGAAATAACAGAAATTCTTCGTAAACAAAAAAGTAAACATAAACATTCATTTCAACCGATATTTGTTTCTGTTGACCCTGAACGTGATACACCTGAATTAGTTTCACAGTATATCAAAGATTATTCTCCACATTTTATTGGTTTAACAGGAACACGTGATCAAGTTGCCGAGATGTGTAAACATTACCGCGTTTACTTTAGTCAAGGACCTAAAATTGGCGATGATTATATTGTTGATCACGCAATTATTATGTATCTAATCAATCCAAATGGTGATTTCGTTGATTACTACGGTAGAAATAAGAATGCAAAAGAAGTATCTAGTGCTATTGAGCAACATATGCACGCTTTTAAAGAGACGAATAAATAAATCGAGAATATGTTGATTTTCGCTTTTCATGTCATTAGGATGTCTTTTTTTTAGATAATTAATAAATGTCCTCAATGCGAGGTAAATCACGAGTTAGTTTTGGATATAAACAAGTCAATCGTCGAGGAAATAGTTTAAAATCAACACCAAAAGAATTTCTTAATTATCCCGATGAACAGTATATTGATTTTAGTCAACAAATAAATAAGAAGCGCTTGCGAGAGTAACTTAGTATATATTGAATTTAAAATATTGGCTTACATTTATTTTCAGCAGATCATATAGTCCGAAACCAAATAAACAAAAAAAATTCAAACAAGATAATAACTATAATAATAATCATAATAGTTGTTCGTCTTCAAATGATTTTCAAAAGGTAAATTAAGAATAAAAAAAGACTGATTCTTGCAATTGGTATCTGTTTTTATTTTGTCAGTTAAACAATGAACTTTTAAATCATTATGCAACAGCAAAACAACTCGAATCTACATTTACTATGAAATGGAAACTTTGCGAAGATATTTTTTCAATGTTCGTTGGAATTGTTCCACGTAAAATTAAAAATCGGATGTTTTCGATAGCTTCATATTCTTTCGAATTATTTAGATTTGGGAGTTTACTTAGTTGGATCAAGTGCAAATGGATTTGCTACGGAAGATACCGATGCCGATATATGTATTGTGATTTCTTCGTATCCTGTAAATATTTTGAAACTAAAATTAAATAGATTTTTGGAAAACAACAAAAACTACTTTCTTCTTCTTCAGATTGATCAAAAACGTGAAGCAGTCAAATTTCTTGAAATGGTACGACGAGCTTTACGAAAAAAAATTTGTTCGTATTTGTTTTGTTTTCTGTGTAATTTCTTATCAAGTTTTGTTATTATTTAGTTGCTGGTGGTTGTGATTTAATACGCGCTCGTGTACCTATTCTTCGATTTACTGATTATGCAACGTAGGATATTTTCTCATGTGAATTATTACAGAAATTTGTATTCATGTTATGTTTTAGCCGATTAAAATGTGATGTTAACATTAATAATGTCACCGGCATTCGAAATACAGATTTATTACGGTTTTACTCTGAAACAGATTCAAGAGTGGCACCACTCGGTTAGTTCCAAGGATTTGATTTTTTTTTATTCTTATTGATGATGTTATAGAATTGATACGCAATTGAAATCATTATATCATTTAAAAATAGAACATTCCGTATTATCGAATGAGAAAATATCTAGATTTTTAATTTTTAGTTTCAATTCTTGATATTGTTTGTTCATTTTGACAGACAATGAATTGAGAATCGATTCAGATTTCTAATCACAATATATTTTATTCAATTAGAACGTTTTTTTAAAGAAACGATTTAAAACGCACTTTTGTCAGCTTTAACAAAACAAAAAGATCTTGTATTTTTAAAAGTACTCTTCATTTATTCATGTTTTTATTTGAATACAAGAATATTAAAACAAGTAGATAATTTAAATTTTACTTGCTAATATGCATATTGATAAAATATTCTTAGTCATTGTGATTAAGTTATTTTATAGCCAAAATCACTCAGGCATGCTGACTCTATGATAACGGCTGTTCTATTTCTCGAAGTTGATCTAACTCGAAAATAGTCTGATGAGCTGTTCTACAACTATGCTATAACGGAAGGAAGTTTCAGTCATTTATGTTAATTACATGGTGCTATGAAAAAGTTTTTATTCTTAGATTTAGAACCAAAAATAGTACTATTTTCTTTTTTCTTTCTAGTCTTAACACTCAAAAGTTGGGCAAAATTCCACAACGTATGCCAAGAGAAACGATTAACATTCTGTTTTTAGAAAAATCTGTTGCTGTTTTGTTTTACGTTTAGATTAATGATGCCAGCCAGAAAACATTATCAAGTTATTCGATTACATTAATGTGCCTTTTTTATTTACAAGGTAGTTTATTATGGACTTCCATTTTTTAGTAAATTTTTATTATTTCAGCTATTGCACAACCACCAGTTGTACCAGTTTGGCAAGCACTCTTACCGGTATACCGAATTGATAGAAAAATCATCTTTTTGTTTTTCGAAAATAATGTAGCTTTTCTTCTGTTTCAGGATCGTTTTGATGTGAATATTCCTGTGTCACAATTGAAACGGAACGATGAACCAAACTTAATATGGAGATCAGAAAACCAACAAACAGTTGCCGAACTATTTATAGGTTTTTTGAGATACTATGCGAAAAATTTCCGGTAAATGCACTTCTTTAAATATGTTTCCTTTTTTGTTTAAAATCATGTTATTTAGATTTGAAAAACATGCAATTAGTATTCGAACTGGTCGTTTAATAGATAAAAATGACTTCTTAGATCACGATGTAACAAATTATGGAGATGCTCTATTAGCTATTGAAGGTAAAAAAGAAAGGATTAGAAAAAGAAAAACCATAGTTTATTATTTTATTTCTTTTAGAACCATTTGATTTATCTAATACAGCTCGGTCTGTTTATGATGACGATGAATTTGAACGTATAGTTCGTGTATTTCGTCGAAGCTATTATACTATTGATAAAACGAATTCATTTTCTTCAATCCTAATGGAACAATTTGAATAATATATGCTTTTTTTGTTACATTCTTTTGCTCACGTGTTTTTTTTTCTCAATAAACGAAGTCCAAACGAAATTGAAGGATTTTCACTGTTTTTCCATCATATTTATTGAGCTATAGCGAGAAGAGAGAGAGAGACAGAGCGAAATCAAGCAAAAAAAGAAAAAGTTTTGTTCCATAAAACATTGAAAAGAAAAGAAGTATTTAAACTATGTATGACATCACAGAACAACACTGTTAGCTTAATATAAAATGAACAGACCCCTTTCAAATAGAAATAATCGTAATAAAAAAGTCATACAAATAAAAAATGTGTATAGTACAAAACGAGAACAATGCACATCTACTACAAGTTAATTTCTTTAAATATTTACACATAACTATCAGGTCCTTCGTTATCGTTTGGCGGCGGTGGTGGTGGTGGATGTACTGAAGTTGGTCTCAATGGTGCACGACCTCGTGGAATAACTCGAGGAACACTTGAGTCAGTCGTGGGTTGTATCGGAATGTTATTAAATTTATTAATTAATGGCAATAGTTTATCAGAAACATTACCAGCTATTGTTCGCTGTTGATTGTTATCATTTGTTCTCGTTGTTGTTGTTGTTGTTGTTGGTGTTGGTGTTAAATATGAATCGTTTTCTTGTTGAGGATAATCTCTGTCTGATTGCGATAAATATGTATTAGATGTTTTATCACTTGCTGTCGGATAATAATCACTTGGTGATGTTGGACGATATGTAACATCATTATTATGAATAGAATGGGGTGACGGATTACTATTATCATCATAGGATGGTAATTCACTAAAACCTTGTTCGTCACCAAACCGCAAAATATCTTCATCTGTTGCATTTTCTTCTTGATAACGATTATATTCGGTTCGATAATACTATTTAAAGAGAGAGAGAGCTATAAAACATAAAATAGAAGTATATTTGATAAATTTACTCCAAACGCTTGTTTTGATAACATTTTTGAATGACATAAGAGAGCACGAATTCGTGTCATTTCTGGTCGATGATTCTCGTCCACAAGACATTCACGAATAATAGCATAACTAAATGATGCAACAATAAATAATAAACGAGTTTAATCGTTTGGAAACATAGAATTATATTCTACAATAATCATTCAAAGAATGAATGAAATGGCAAAAAAAGAAATTGATGTGTCGATTCCAAGTATAACAAAAAAGAGTACACTTCATTCAAACAACTTATCATTTTTATGTATCTAAAAGTTATTATTAGTAGAAATGTGTGGCGTAAGGTATTATCTTACCAAATATCCTTCTTTCGTGTACAAGGTAGAGCCAGGTAGGATAAACCGACACATCTCTAGTTGTTAGCGCCTATAGATCCTTATAGTTTTACCTGCTACATCGAAGTACAAATGATTGTTAGATAGCCCACGAAAAATTTGAATAAATCAATATTCATAGGTGCTTATTTCTTTTTTTTGTATCGTCTCCATCGAAAAAGAATCAATATATGTTCAATCACTCGTTTGTATAGAATTCAAATTTTAAAACATCAATACTATTGCATATTTTTCTTATTTCGGACTAGGTAAATATAAATCACTTGATAAGACTTTAGATTTTTCAGGTGTTATTCATTTTAGTATTAAATTTTCGAAATATTCTTATTGTTCTTTAGATTTCTGTTTTTCTTTATGATTTTAAACGAATTTTTTTTTCTACAAATGATATTATATCTGACAAACGAAAAAGTGTTTCGTTTAAAATTAAATATTAATCTGTATTATGAATATTATCTTACATTTGACCTGGAATTTCTTGTTGATGTCTAAGATATTTCAGAACACGACCGTCACTAACAACACGAGCAAGTCGATGAAAAAAATTTTCTCCACCAGGTTGATTTTCTATTTCTGCCAAAAGTTGATGAAATGGTCGAACTCGACCTGAAAAAATGAATATAACACAAAAACAAAGACAATACAAAATGAACACTTACATTTAAGAAATAAAGTCCAAAGAAATATTCCAAATGACCAGCTATTTATTGAATGGATACATTTAAAAACAAGAATAAAATTTAAAATCATAAAAATAAATCACTTACACATCGGATTTGATCGATGATTTATTAAGTAAAATACGTTCATCAGGATTTGATGCACGTAAAATAGCTCGAGCTAGTTCTGGTGTTAAATTATGTGTTGCTATTTCATTCTATAATAAGAAAGTCTTAATTCTATTCAGCATGTTTCTTTTTCTATTGAAACTTACATGTTTCTTTTGAATTTGAACACTATCATTTTGTGCGAGTTGCTCACGATAATTTTTATATGTTGTCCATGTTGCCAAACTACATAAAGCATAGTATTAAAATTAAAAAAAGAAGAAAAATACCCAATGAATATACTTACCCAAAATCACATATTTTCATAGTAAATCTCGAACTAACTAAAACATTTCTTGCAGCAATGTCACAGTGAGCTATTTGTCGTCGATTTAAATAATCAACACCACAAGCAACTTGATAACCAATTAATGTTAAATCATCTTCTGTTAATATACATGAATCATTTGCTTCTGCAACTGTCATTCCTTGTTGTTTTTGTTTAGCAAGTGTTTCATACAATGATAGTTTTGTTTCTGATGTATTTGTTGATGGTTGAAGAAAACGTTTAAGCATTGATTCAAGTGAACCATTTGAACATAATTCCATTAAATAGAATGAATCTTCATCACGTATAAGGCCACCTGTTATTACGTATTTTATTTTTGTTTCCGGATATGCAACTTTAAGTAATGAAACAATATTAACATGTTTACCAGCTTTATGCATAACTTTAATTTCATCAATTAACATTTCAGCGGCTTTTTTCTTTTGAGCCTCATGTTTTTTTTCAATCATCTCTTGACTCTCTTCAAGTTCTTCACCTTTTTTACGTTTATCACGACGACGCTCAATATTACGTATCGATTCTGGTAATAGTTTTGCAGCAACAAGACCAACCTCTGGTAGACGTATTTGATAAACAATACCATATTGACCGTGGCCAAGTTCTTTAAAATCTTCTTTTGCTTCTGGTAGTGTATCACCATTAACATAACTAAGTAATGTACGAACTTGTTGTCTTGATGCAAAATTATCTGGTAATCGTATACGCGTTAATTGTGACATCGGCGGCTTAGATTTATCCTCGGGTTCATCCGGTTGTTGAATATGAAAAATACTTGTGTCAACAATTTTTTTCATTTTATAATATTTGACAAGCAAAACAATAAGTAGAATAAGTAGAATAAGTATTACACATGCAGATAATATTACAAATACAGCTATTAATCGACGATATTTTGAATAAATATATGAAGCTAAATGAACGAATACATATATATGTACATGTATAAACGAGAGAAAAAACAGTTCGTTCTTTTTTTACTTTTAACACGTAAATCAAAACTTCGACGTAAAACCGAATCACGACCATTTATTAATTCACATGTGTAAAAACCAGTATCAGATGTTTGAACACGAGTGATATGAATACTAAATAAAAATAAAAAATTGAATACTTTATTTTTTTACCATAAAAATATTGGCGTATTCCCATTAGATGTCAGATTATGAAATTACAAAATTTCGATACATCTAAGCATACATAAAAACCCAATTGCAAATATTGAAGTTGACTTCATCGTACTATATGATCTACATGAATATTTTTCTGAATGAACCATTACAATAAGCATGAATTGTAACGCCTGTTGGCATTGGTGAGCAATAATACTTCTGCGAAAAACTCTTAGCTAATTTATATTAAGATTTCATATGAAAATTAGTAATTATCGTCAAATATGATAGTATATTTCGTATGGTAGAATGCTTAATTAATATTGGTTACTGACTTCAAGTCATTTTTACCTTCCATTAGTATCACGAAGTTGTAATGTTGAATCATCACTTGTCAATGGTACTTTATCTTTTAGCCATGTAACTTTTGGTTTGGGTTGTCCATCGTATGAACAATCAAATTCAACATTTGTACCCTCTTTTCGTTCTAATTTAAGCGATGTTGGCGCATTCGTTTTAAATCTTAATGGTACAGGATCTAAAAAGTCATAAAATTTCCGTAAAACAAAATCTATGCATATCATACAAAATATCATTTAACGTTACCATCTACTTGAATTATGTATGTATCATTCATATTTCCAATCACATCCAATCGTTTAGATAAAGCTATACATTGAATAAAGCCATTCTTGCCAATTTTTCTCAATGGTAGTGTTTTTACTTCAATAACTGTATCTCGAATAGTATCACTGATATGTGAAAATAAATTGCATAAAATAATATAAGATAGACGAAAAAAAAAGAAAAAACCTTGTAGGGGTTAACCATTCGAGATCAGTTTGTTTCGGCTGTTTACTTTGAATTAGAATCCATTCGGCATCAAAACGATGTCTTTCATATGTAAATAAACCATCGTCATAAACCATTTTAAGATCATCATAAATTAATTCATGGCCTTCACATCTATATTTTAAAATATCTCCAGTAACTAAACTAAATTCTGGTTTATGTACAGTAAACATATCACGACTACCTACAATATAAAAGAAAGAAAGAATAATTTAGCTGTTTTTTGTTTGTTTTAATTTTTCTTTCTTACGTGCTAATGCTGTTAATGATTTCGCAATTAGAACTAATCCATTTTGTTCATAACAACAAATATATTGATGACCTATTGATGGGTCATCAATTATTTGTGCATCAGTACTGACAAATTGTGTTTGAAAACTAGTTATACGATTTGATCCTGTTGATAATACGCGTAAATTGGGTGACACTTGACATGTTTTATCAATAATATCCGATAGACAATGATCAACTGCACATTGGACATCATGAATAAATACTTTCAATGGTTGCTGTATATCAGCACGATGACGAACCGTACAAACGACACGATATAATTCACTTTCATAAATACCATAGGTATGAATGTTTATTTTATCTTTGTCATATTCATCACGCCATGGCATTGTACGTTGAATATCATTTGACATAAAAGAAAATTGGCCAACCGGATTACCAGTAACAGTTGGTTTAATGATTTTAGTGTTTTCTGATGCAGATGATTTGGCTGTAATCATTATATTTGATTCATCTTCAAATGTAATATTATGTATAGTTAATTCATATTCATAAAATTGATTATCACGATCCGATCTAAATATAGAGAACAAACGATCATGAAAGAAATTGTATATGAATAAAGTGTTTCTTCATTTTTTTTTCATCACACGATTCATGCAATTAACATTACACAAAAAAAAGACATGCAAATACCTTTCATCTATCTGTGAATAATATAAGAAGAAGTATATGTAAGCGTTGAGCTACTTTTTATTTCGTCTGTGCATATGATTTCCTATACTTACATAGAATTGAGTACAAAACGTTTATCATTTCCCAATGAAATTCCATTACGTGTTATTTCAATACGAATTTTCGAGCGTGGAATAGTAAAAATAGTTATATCATATTTGCTATCTGATCCATAAGACACTGGCTGAGCAGTATCTGATTCACCTGAAGATACTTCAAGATCAAGTGATGGCTCTAAAAAAAAGAGATTTTTTTTCGTTTTCATTTTTATACGCTTATGTAATAACATACTATCAACACATATAATATCAACAGAACGCGAATAAATTCCTTGCTCAGATACACGTACACAATAAAAACGATAAGATTTATCTGGCTTGAAACCACGAAGAGTTATTGAGCTATTTCGATTGTAGACTTGTGTAAATGGATTAAATGAAGCTTTTTCAGTTTCATTTGCTATAAGATTAAGCTAGAAAATAAAGGCGAATGATTTTAATCTTATCAAGATTATAGGAAAACAACAGTTTACATTATAAATATCTTCAAACCAAAAAATGCTTGGTATTTTTCGGCCAACTTTTGTTCCATATTGAATTTCACAACTCAATCGGAGAGTTTCATCAGACATGATAGTTAAACTTGATTGATGAATTGCAATATAATCAGCTAAATAGTGTTAGAAATAAATATATTTTTGTTATATCATGAATATGGCTAATCCTACGATCGAATGAATCATATGGAACTTTTGATATTTGACTCGGCGTATAATTACTCATACACGAGAATTCAGATAGTGTTTTTGGAATGTTTGGATGTTCTAATGCAAAACCAATTTGAGGATCGAAAAATACTTTCTAGAGAAAAAAGAAAGAAAGAAAGATCAATGAAACAAAACTGTTTATTTGAACTAACTGCAGGTTGCAAATCCAATGGTGTATAGTAAACTGGAATACATACATCTACTCCATCACACATAGGCGTATTACATTTAAGTTCATTCACTTCACGTTCTCTTGAACTGCATTGACGTAATTTACATTGACTTGCGTCTTTTGGCATCGGACATGACATTCGTGGAAACCAACTTGACGTTTGACATGGTAAATTAAAAAAATGCATACCTGTTTCTCGCAAAACTTTAGGATAAAGTCTTTTAGTAAATACAGAAGTTCCATCTGAGAAATAAAATTATTCGTAGATGCCTTTTTTTTTATAAAACAAAAACAAAAACAGTATATACCTTGAATAAATACATAGACGGATGTTTCAGATCGTTGACCATTAGTGATTTCTGAACACGTATAACGTCCAACAAGTTCGGTACGAAATTTCTCTCTTCTTAATGTAGCAGTGATTGTATAAGTGTTATTATTCATATCAAGAGATAAGTGCTATTCGGAGAAAAAAAAATCAATATTAATCATTTATCAATGGTAATTTTGATTTTTTTCATAGAAAAGATTATTATTATTTTAGGCAAAAATACTTGCAGATTTGATTTTTTATTACAAACTAAAGTACGAGCTTACGTCATTTGCTACTGCAGGAATAGTAAAATTGAGAGTATTTGTCGTTCCTTTACATTGCAGAAAAAATGACAGTCGACCTTGTAACGCATCGGCATGAAATTGAATTTCACGAGGAACAAGATAGTATCGGAAAATTCGATCAACTGAATCAAGATCTGTACGTATACGCTCTGTAATATGTCCACTCGGTGGATATTCAATTTGAACACCTTGAAATAAATAAGAAAAGTTAATTTAATTCAAGATTGATTCATTTATTTTGTTACTTTGGACGTGAGAATCAGTTAAGTAGATAATGAGTAATAATGTTCGTAACATGATCCTGCATAAAATATAATCGATCAAAACAAAATAACGTTGAGTATTAAAAACCGCTACCGTAAGTAGGAGGAAAAAATGATTCACTCTTTTCGAGTTGCAAATCAGGATTAAAATTATACCTGACATCTAGGGGCCTTTACAATAATTCGTTAATGTTACAACGTATGAAAGGTGGCACATGCATGTAGGTAATAAAAAAAGTGTGAGTTCGTTGTTCTTGTATATATGTTGACTTTAAATTACCAGTAAAGGAGACCAGCATAAGACGAAATGGTTTATCTTGTTGTATTAGAAAAATTCTCAAGAAGAAAACTTCTAATATTCCTTATTATTCTACTGATTATTCAAATAATCTACTTTCTTCTTGGTGGTCTCAATGGTTTGTAACAAGAAGAAAAAACTTACATTTTCATTTTTAAATTAATGTTTTCGTTGTCTCTTAGGAACAAAACCAACATATGCTACTCTTCATGAATTTACTTTATGCCAATCTAAAGTCGATCGTCAATGGATTTATGATAGTCCAGAAAAAAATTGTAATGAAGAACATCTCGAATTTGAGCGCGTATGATTTAATTTAAACTAAAAGGAATATTATTTCTTATTTTCATATTTCCATAGGAAAAAAGTTGGAAAGATTTTGTCTATATCATTCAATTACCACGTATTACACGATGGTTTCAAACATTAACATCAATCATTGTACCACGTATCGAATATGATTCGCGGGTTAATTTGAGTAAGTTCAGTTGTCTCTTTCTCTTTGAATTATTGAATTTAATTTTTAAGGTGCAAATGCAATCTTAACATATAATGTTCGGCTTGGTTATAAAACTGATCAAATGTTTAAAGATTTGAATTCCGAATGGCAATTAGTCGCTGAATCGCAAGAATCTCGTTCTATCCAATGCCGGCCAATATTTCATTATGGAACCAAAAATAAAGTATTTTTTGCTATTTATTTAACAAAACGTTGCATCTTTCCTTTTTACTTAAGCATATACCTGATGGATACACATGCGAACCATTAGCTTTTCTGGAATTATCTACATTGAAATACCCATACTATTTAATTAATTTACAAATAGTTGATAAAAATGGTCTGTCGCAAGATATTGGTAAACTTAAATCATTTGACTTCGTTGTTAGTATTAACGTTTAGTTTAAAATTTTGAAAAGCAAATGTTAACATTTAGGGTATTCATCAAACAGAAAAGTTTACGAAATTATGGTATACATTGAAAACAATGACATTTCCTATTGTTCTTGCCAGTCTCATTTGGTTTTGTCGACAAATGAAACGTGCACAAAAAACTTATACAAATCTTGACAAGTAATTATTTCACTTGAATTAATTGATATCAGAATGAAAAAAAAAGTACAAAGTAAGATAAGAAAAGATTAGATATCTCTGTTCCAAAATGCAAGTTTTGGCCTGTGTTCTACATTGAAATTTCTCTTTGTAAATATTTTCTGGTTATGAGAGGCCCTGCTCAAAACCCTATTTACTTAAAACTTTCCAAAATACAAGAAACTATAACAAAAGTATTCTAAATTTTGTTTCAACAGTACGATTTACTTTTTGCTTTGAACCGAACATTAGTGGTGATGTGTGGAGAAGTTGTGTCTACTCTTATTTAGAAAATCGAAAATGATGACCTACATAATATTCTGATAATGTTATAACTTGGTAGAAACTCGATTGGAATGAGCGTTTTTGATAGTATATTGATTGAATTATCAATTTTATTTGCGGATTATTTTCTTGTACAAAATAATAAAAATATTTGAAAGATGTTTCCGTGGAAAACTTTTAGTCGAATAAGTAGAGTTTGCGAGACACTGATATGATATGTAATTTCAACATGGGATGATAAAATTTCGAAATGTTGAAAGTGATAAAGAATGAATAACGCTAAATTCCATGTATTTTTCATACCGTGTGCATTTTGCCTAGGTGAAAACAAACACGATTCTATAGCCCTACGTTTATTAGGTTGTCTGTCGAAAGTTGTTGCACTGTTTTGCGTTTCTTTAAATAGCTAGTGATGTTTATCACAAGTAAAAACTATGACTATGGTTTTCGATAAAAAAAAACAATAAGAAGGCAGATATCCTACGGTCAGGGTGAGAAAGAAAGTGATGTCATATGTAGTTCTTTCTAATTGACACTCCTGGTACAATAGAAAATGAGAATGAACTAGTGGTAGATATATACAAAAACCAAACAACCAATACTCGATAGTAGCCCGAGTGCGTACGTTAACATCTTGCATTTTTCCTATCGTAAAAAGTATGAATATCAACACTTATTGAGTTATCTCTGGTGAGAAACTTACCCAATATTGAGCAACTCTTTTATGTAAATATTATTGGTCGATCGCAAAGGTGTCGGCCTCGGAAAAGAGCCTGTGCTCTTCGTTAAACTTATGTATTCACCTGTATACAATTATTTTCAAGTTGAAAAATACTTTCAGTCATTCCTAAAATGCAGCATAAAAATCTATTTATAATTCATTACTGTTTACTTAACAGTGCAATATAAGATATGAATATTTCATTTAGATTAATATTCTTACTTGGCCTATCAGCATGTATACTCAATGGTTAGTTTTATCAAAGCAATTTCACAGTTTGAATGTGATAAATTTTATCATTTTGTTTTTAGCTCCCATAGAATGGTTAACACTTGTAATGCCTTTCAATGGTTTTCAAATCTACAGTGAAATTCGCCAAGGATTTTTTCTTACTGTTCTTTTGACTTTCTGGCTATTCTTTGCTGGTGAACATGTTGTTGTGAGCAGTTCTATCTGTCGTCAAATTGATCTGTATCTTCATTATATTTTGCATAGGATAAAAGTGCTAATCATGGTTTATTTTCATATGGAAAATATATTGTTTTACTTTGGTTTGCTTCATGCGCTTTACTCATTTTTGAATTATGTGAACGGTACAAATCAATAACAAGCTATTACTTTATCTATTATTATCCTGATTGCTTTTTTTTTCTAGAGGATTTCAACTTTGGAATCCATTTCATTCAATATGGTCTACACGTGTTGGCCGTAATGTCAGTTTAACGTTTCTTATACTTGCTGGTTTATCCAGTTTTACCTATATTATTTGTCTTACTGTACTTGTTGTACGTGTTTTCTGGAATATTCGTAGTAAACAAGGTGAACTTGCAGCAATGCGCCGTATTCGACGCTTGATATATCAGGTATGTTGAATGAAATTATTTTAAAAAAGTATCAACATTAATACTTGATTTGTAATATGAAGGGAGCATTTTATCGATTTCAATTTATGTTATTAACAACGATACTCTGTGCTATAATTACAATTGTTTCATATTATCTAAGTCAACTTGATGAAACATACTGGGTTTGGAATACAGAAAAACCAGCTAAAATTCAATATTCAGGAGCATTTATAACTGGTAAAAGAAAAACAAAGCTGATTTAATTGATATTTTTTAAATTTCATTTGTAGGAGTCTATGGTATGTTGAATATATATGTTTTTGCTATTTTGGTACTTTTCTCACCAGTAATCTCAAATGTAGATGATATGGATGAATTAAGTAAGTGAACGAAAATAAAGTGAACATGTAGTGAAAAAAGAATTTTGATCTTTTAGCATTGGCCAGTGATGATGGGAATGTTATGCATTTAACTAATAATCAAACATCTGCTTATCAAATGATTAGTAAAGCAGCTATCAGTTAAAAAATTATTAACGATTTTTGTGTAATAAATAGAGTCAAATAGTTTGTTTTGTAAAATACTCAGCGATCTCGCAACTTTCTGTTTCTTGAAGATCTGTTTTCTTTTTGTACTAGTCCATTTTGTATAACAATATTCATATAGATTTTGTTATGTTATTAGGAATTATTCATTTATGACGTTCATACCTTTGTGGATTTTTGTTTTTTTTTTGTCTACATAATTCTCAGTTTGAAAAATTATTAAAATATCGAAATCATTTGTTTTTACGAAAAAATAACTTGATCGGTTTTCCCCGAAGCTGCGCCATTCAATGGTCTGAATACTTTGATAAAAAGTAAAAAATCAGATAAACAATACTACAAACGTTCGATATGCCGAGCTCTTTCAAACACAAACACCAGGAATTATTTTCATTGGAGTTTGAATTAACAAGAAAAATTATTAGCAATCTTACAGCACTTGGAAAGTTCTATTTTCGGACTGCATTAATAAAAAGTTTGGCACACAATTAAATGATTTCTATGATCTAAATTATTTGCAAACCACAATTTCTAATAAACATTGCCAATTTGAACAGAGCTGTTTATTTCGTTGAATACGATGATGTTCAAAAAGTTGTACGACTGAATATCGTGAGGAAGAGAGGCCACTTCGACTCTCGCCTTGATTTATACTACAGCGATATCTTACATTTTTCGTATTTGGAAAAAGATACTGAATAATTTTTTAAAACAACTTCAAAGAATTGCACATTTCAGATTTTTTATGTTGATACTTTTCATCGAAAATTTTGATTCATTTTTTTGTAGAGAATTGAATGGAGAGTTTACGAGGAAAAAAGATGAAGACATACCGATGAAATTTAGTCATCGATATTGAAAGGATTATTTTGAATTTTCTCGGATGTCATGCAAAAATTTTACCTGCAACTATAGTGAAATGTTCTTTTTTGTCTTTTTAAGTAAAAGATGTATTAAAAATTGACTACTTAAAAATATCATTCTCAAATAGAAAAGTCATTTATTTGTACAATTACGAATTTAATTACAACTAGACTGTCTTATTAATTTACAGAAAATACTATGACGTGATTTAGGAGTATTTTTCTACAAGTTTTCATTTTGCGTTTATATATATCTATTTTTTCTTCAAGATGATAAATGATACGAGTGATACTTCTGTGGATATTGATAAAGAACTTTATCCCGCTCTGATTCAATGCTTCTTTATAATTGCTGTCGGTTATGTTGCTGGTCAACTAAATTTATTGACACGCACACAATCGACAGGTCTTTCACGTTATATCAGTAACTTCGCTTTACCTGCTGTAGTATTTAAAAATCTCGTTGACTTACAATTTGAAAGAGTATCATGGCAATTTATTACATCTGTACTTGTTGCTAAAACAATTGTTTTTCTCTTGACAGCACTTTTAACTGGTATAGGTGAACGTCCGAGGAATTTTGCAAGCATGGGTTTACACGCAATAATGGCATCGCAAAGTAATGATTTCGCATTGATTCTACCCATAATTGATGCTGTATACAGCCAATCACATCCAGATTATGGACGGTATATATATCTATTAGCTCCAATATCTTTAGTCATACTGAATCCAATCGGTTTGCTTCTAATTGAAATACAGAAACGTTTAGATGATCAAAAAAAGCATCCTAACATATCTATATGGCATCGTTGCCAACTAATTAGAAAAATATTTAGTAATATAAGTCGCAATCCAATTGTGATATGTACATTACTTGGCGTTGTCTTTAATCGAATATTCAACGAACATTTACCGAATATCATTGAACATATATTAACACCAGTGGCACAATCCTTTAGCGCAACGGCATTATTTTATCTCGGTTTAACAATGGCTGGTAAATTACGTCGTCTGCATACACATCTTGTTGTAACCGTATTTGCTCTGAGTATGATTAAATTAATTTTATTTCCATTAATATTACGTCAAGCCGTCTTTCTATTTGTTAAATCAACGAAAGGAACTTTAAATAATACAATTGATTTTTCAAATTTCGGTTTTCTATATGGAACAGCACCAACTGCACCATCAGTTATATTTTATGTACCTGAATCAAATGCTGCATTACAAACGATTGCTTCAACGGGTCTAATTTTTTCCACTTTACTTTCGATACCAATAATGCTTGTATCAGCGAAAATGATTAATTTAAGAACATTAGATATAAAACTGAAACAAACATATGAATCAATGCTAATAAAAACATCGTATGATGTTAGTATGATATCATTACTTTGTACGATTATTGTTCTTGTTGGATTTTCTTTACGATATCGTCTATTAAGAAGGTCACCTATTCATAAATATACATTTATTTTCGTTGGCCTACAAATGATATATGCTATTTGGACAATATCAATTCAATATGTGCAACTACCTATATCGGGAACAGCTTCAATAATAGTTGATACAGGTAAAAGAAAAACGACAGCAAGCTTTATGCAAAATTCAAGAGTCATTTTTATGATTCAAATTCAAATTCTTGTGTAAACATAAAGATTCATAAGGAAATTTTTCGAATAGAGAAATATTCATCTGCAATGTAGATTTTTGCTTTTCATGCGTATCAAATTACAACCGTTTATGCTCTGATCCTATGAGGCATATAGGCATGAATTAATGTTTAACTGGATTATTCAAATGTATCGTTTTTTTCTCTCCAAACAAATATGTTATGCGAGAAGATTTCTAGACAAACGTTGTACAACATAAATAATTTTAAACGATCATTCTGTGCAAATACAATCCAAAATAAAGATAGTTGAAATATAGAAGTACAAATTTAGATCATACAGAGTGTGGTACATGTTGTTAGTATAAGATAAAAACTCCTATATATGCACTACACCCATGTTTCGTTCTTACAAAATTCAGTAAAAAATGGTTGAAAAAACTTTCCTAACATAGTTCGGCTAAGTCAATTATTGTCTGATTAGTTAACACAATTACATCGGTTTCCACTTCCAGGTATTCTGTGAAATATATAAGTAATTTAATTACATATGTCATGCGTAGATCAACACAAGTCAACAGTGACATATTAGAAAATCTACACATGCCATTCAGTTTGGAATTTATTATTATTTTTTCTCTTATGGTCTTGAATTAAATTACTATGTACTTCAACACGCACATGCATTATCACGTGAAATTTTTCATTCGTTTTAGGTAGTATTCTACTAGCTCTAACAACGCGTTCGTGGGCAACAAGTATTTCAATTGCTTTGATGATATCATTTTGTTATTCAAACGAACGTGCTCATTATTTTTTCTGGTTATATCATTTATTTGGTTGGCTTGTTCCTATTTGTACCACTCTTATAATATATTATCAATCGTCCATCGATCGATCAAGAAGCGAATCGTCGATGGATACAGAAAAATTTGGAACTGTTCAAACTAGTGCTTCAGTCTGTTTACTTGCTATATGTATTATAATTACTTCTTCAAATCTTCTTCGAATTGCTCGGCGTACATATCGATTAAAACAAAATGCAAGTGAAACTCAACCATTAATTAATGAGGGAAGTGAATATACGGACAGTCAAACAACACTACGATCACTTTCTATAGGTATTTAATTATTTAAACTAATTGAGTTTTTATTTTTTTTTATTTGAAAACATAATTGTAGATCTAAAACCATCCGAATACAGTACACAATGGCTTCGCCATTCAGTACTTGTAGGCCTATTGAATATAAATGCTTTTGTTGTAAGTTCAAGTGTTCAATCAATAGAATTAAGTCTTGTATTTAATTTTACTTTACTTTTAGTGTATATCGGCTTTATTATGGTCCTTATTAACAAGAAATCGTGATGGTGTTTATTATGAATTACAATTTCTTGACACTGTTCTATTACATGGACAAGTAAAAACGATAACTTGAAAATTTCCTTTTTAATTTCTATTTGAATTTGTTTCGCATCTTTAGGGCATCATTACATTTCTTGTTTTTGCGCTTGATGCTGATTTATTATTACCTATAAGTCGAAAGTATGATTTCATTGAATAGTATATATGAACTTTTTACATTGTCTTTTTTTTTATAGAATTATTAAATTATTGAATCGTTTTGGTTTAAAAATAGAGTTTTCTCGAAATCATACTCATTGTCGACATTCAGAAAATGAGAGACCATTAGATTTTACCGAAAAAATTCGATCAAATTTTATTCGATATTCCATACGAACACAAAGGTAGACAATTTACTATTAGAATAATTAAATTTCAAGTTTTATTTTCTTTTTCACTTTCAGTGCAAGTGGTTCTGTGGAAAACATTGAAACAACATTTAATGAGAATGAGTTTTGTCAATGGCTTGTAACAAACGGTCATATGGAAAATGAATCAATAGCTCATGACTATTGTCAAGAATTGGTGAATAAAAGACAAATAATTTGTATTGATCGCACAGAAAATGAAAATAGTCAAGAATTCGATAATCATTGGTATGCCTTTTCCAAATAGAATCAAACAAATAGAAGTTTGATTGCAATTTATTTTTTTAATATTATTTTTAAGCTTTGTAATTCGTTTTTCTTTAATCAGATACGATGAAATAATGTATTATATTTTATTTTCTGTTTTTTTTTGCTTTGATTTCATTTTTTTTTGTATAAAATCCTTGATATTATTCATGTTCCATTTCTTGTACAAATATGATGTCGGCAGAAAAAAAAAATATTTGTCAAGATGACGTTAAACACTTTTTTCTTTGTGTTCTATATCGTCGCGATAGCGATTTTGAAAAACAACTCGAGTCTTATAGTTCTTCATTCTAATGCTAATATAAATCTTTTTTTTAAATCAGTATAAGTATAATAACTAGGCCGAACAAGTACTGTATTTATGTAATCAGTAAATTGGATGGAAGAAAAGAAGCATACAGTAAAACCTTCCTTGAATGGGCGCCCACGGGACTTTTTAAAATCGCCCATCTTACGGAGGTGCCCGTACTATAGAGTTATTTTTAATATATACTGATTACTGATGTTTTCACAAGCAACATAATAGACAGCACCGACACTTATATATACAATCGGTATTTATATCTTGAATAGTGTCCAATATTTTAGTTTAATTTATTTGATTAGTTTTTTATTTAACTTTATTTTCTATCATCATATTTACAGTCAAGCTTTTCGAACGAAATCTGTAATTGAACTTTGCCGGTTAGTTTTTGATTCGATGTAGGCATCAGCAAGTTTTGATTCCAGATTAGTGGCGAATTGATGAAGTTCCGAGTGGCGAGTAGACGCAAGTAGATGGAGCTTTCGAACCATTTCAAGTGCATCAATGAGCGAAGGAGATTGGGTGAGGGTGAGGGTGAGGGTGTGGGTGTAAGACGTGATTTCATAAAAGAAGTGCATCCACACCCACACCCTCGATACCTTGTATCTCTCATATAGCTTGCGTTGTGATAGCCCAGCTCCATCACCGTAGTCATTGATCAATTCAATCTTCTTATCAAGAGTAAGGTAATGGCACGACGTCATTTTTCAAATGATATGAATATGTAATGTAAGAAAAACAATAGTATTTATACTCTTATTATCATTGACTGAACAATGAGAAGTGTATAGATGAGTTGTTCTTTTTGTTCAATCGGACTAGCTTTTCTTTTTCTTTCTCTACGAACAGCAAGGAGAGATGAGACGAGAAGAAAAAATAACATTCTACGTATTATAACATTCACTATATCTGCCCATGTGAAAGAGGTAAATGTACACTATGGACTGAAAAAACAATGCCCATTATTCGAGGTTGGAGGTGTCCTTGTTAGAGAGACTCATACTCAGCAAAATTGATTGGTCGTTCCGCCCAGTGCCCATATAAGTGAGGTGCCCTTGTTATAGGGGTGCCCATGTAAAGAGGTTTTACTGTATATGTAAGGTAGTCATTAGAAAATTGGAAAAACTATGAAAACTATTTAGCTCATACTATATATACGTATGCTAATGAATGTTGATGTAATGTCAGTATTTTTCTCTAAGAATTATACAACCGATAACAAGAAACAGTAATGAAAAGCATTTTGGTTTTGTGAAAAATCAATATTATAATTGAATAGTGAAATACTTCCTGCCTTAGAAGAAACAGGAAAATTTTTATAGATTTTATCACTTGGTAAAAAAGTAAGAGTATAAGTTTTATTTCTTTTAAATTACGACTATTTTCAAAACAACATGTTTTGTCGTATTTGATTTTCTCATATAGTAACAAAATAGTTTAATGAAATCAATTAAAATGACGTAGATAGAAAAACTAATTTCTCATCAAGTAAGAATTAAGTGAGAAAAAGATTTCGACTCCTTTATGACATCAATTATCATTGAAAAAATGTTATGATATGGTAGAGAATAGTTCAAGATTTCTTTCATATTCCTATGTATACATTGCATTGTTCTAGAAGGTTTTGTTGTAAATACTATAAATATACATATATATATATATATATATATACTAATACAATAAGTCGAGACTTTACACGATAATAATCAGATCTACATTGTTTTCAGTCTATGACATATTTATAATCTTTTCTATCAGCATTGATAAATATTCGTTTTCAAACTGCATTTTTACGTATCTTGGTACTAAAAACTCAAATAAACATAATTGTATGGCAAAATTGACTCTGCATATGTAATCCAATACAAAATAAGAAGCAAATAAATCGTTTATTTAATCCGTAAGTGAATAAATACTATCGATCTAGGTGTGAATAACATAGAAAAATATTTTGTATATACCATGCAAATATGAGTTCATTCGATATTGCAGGGAAAACATGTTTATCAACAACAAGCATACGTTAATGAAATAATAGAAAAACATGATTTTTTAGCATACTGATCGGAATCTTAATGAATTCTGGTTAAGAACTATGAAAAAATATTTCTTTTATTGTGTTCTTTCATCGCTTGAGTTATTTATTAATCGTACTTAGATTGATGTGTCGAATTATATGGTATATTGACTGTTGTTTATTGTTAGCATACTGCATCTGATATACCAAAACCTTGAAACTGTAAGTAGCACATATTGACGATTCTGACAACGACTAATAATCTTACGGCAGAGAATAATAACGAGTAAAAGTCAATGTGTCTTGGGTCTATTTATTTTTCTGGGCTTTCCGAATATTTTCTAACAGAAGCAATGTTTGCAACACATGATAATACACTCGTAAATATAACACAATGTGATGATATGCAAATTGTGAAACTGCTACCAAGGAAAAGATGACACAGGAGGATAGAATATATGAAGATATGGTTTTCGAATCTCATCTATTTTAAATATTACATAATGATGAAACAAGAATGTTGCCTATCTAGCTTTCAAGTTTCACTTGTCAACTCTTTTAAGTCGTATGCATAGTGAATTTTCAGATGAAAATATTAGTAATTAGTGTTTTAAAATAGCATTCATGAATTTTCTATGCATCATATACACCTGCTATATAACAATCAAGCATAAGAAAAGATACTTGAGAAATGTCAATGTTAGCTTCTTCTTACTTCGAAGCCTCTTTTTAATCATTATGATAGAAACGTGAAAGGTTATCATACGCTCACATACGCAAAGAGAAATGTTAAATGTTTAGTTGTGCTTCTGCCGCTGTGTATTTTTTTCCTTCATTTCATCATCCTCGAGTTATTGATCTATTCATAGATATCTTGATTCTATGCTTGTATGTAAAGAATGCGTGTACTCAAGAAGAACTGTCTTTTTGTAAGATCGTGTTTGAATCGTAATATCTTTGTGAAATGGTGAGCAAATGAGCTCAAATTTTGCAGCGAAGTAGAAAAAATTCTTTTCTATCTGTTGGTGAAAGAAGTTTTGAAAAAGTTGAGAAATGGTCGAGTTATGAGCGGTAGTTTTCAGTCATCTGGTGTCGTTCTAAATAAACGCACTTTCTTCAATAGGAACGATAATGCAAAAATTGTCCCCAAGTAGAACACACCAGCAAAAATTCATTTTAATAACGTTATTAAAATGAATTTTTGCTGGTGTGTTCTACTTGGGGACAATTTTTGCATTATCGTTCCTATTGAAGAAAGTGCGTTTATTTAGAACGACACCAGATGACTGAAAACTACCGCTCATAACTCGACCATTTCTCAACTTTTTCAAAACTTCTTTCACCAACAGATAGAAAAGAATTTTTTCTACTTCGCTGCAAAATTTGAGCTCATTTGCTCACCATTTCACAAAGATATTACGATTCAAACACGATCTTACAAAAAGACAGTTCTTCTTGAGTACACGCATTCTATATTTTGTGCATTCGTTACTAACTATTGTAAGAAAAGCATGACTAGGTGGAAAAATATAATCATACGCATTTTCATTTTTTTCCTATTAATGCAAATAGTCATCATGACTATCTATCATTAACATTAGTACAGGTACGTTGCACACCGCTCATATCCGGTTTTTTTCGAGAAAAAGAAGTTGTGTTTATTACTTAAAGGCAAATATGTAAGAACGAAGAACTGAATCATATAATATAGATGATTTACATCTGTAGATGGCATCAACAATCTTATCATGTCCATCCATTATAATTTGTTCATAGATGTACTATGGAAGCGTCGTAGAATTATTCTATTTGAATTTCCCATGGTAAAAAAATGAGTCAAAACAGGAAATACATTAATAGCGTGACTTTAACATTGTAATGATTTCGCGCGCACTCAAGTAGTACAGAGCACGAAATACTCATTCTTTGTCTTTTTTTGACAAGTAAAAAAAATCAGACAAAACGTAAGTATCGATAGAGATAAAAATCTACTACTTATTGAAAACAGTCTTCAACAATAGAACACTGGCGTCACTATTCGTGAAAAAAGTAGCAGCTGTCTCATAATAAAACAAGATTAGAAAGTATTCTTCCGAGTAATTCTTTATGTACGAGCTGTAGTGTTTGCTAATAATATTAAACTAATCAAAAAAAATAGTTCCTTACGCTTCAATATAAGAATTTTTTATGGCTCTCATATAAGTGAACAAATAAAACCATATAAGAGATACTTTACTGAATGTTTTTCTTGCCTGAAGCAAAACTAGATTCTATTAGAAATAATATGATGTGATCATGTTCCTCCTGAAAATGCCTGTACCTCACAAATAACAGATATCTATCTGTATTCGGCTAACACGTCACTATTGATGTATATCAACTTTTGTTCTATTTTACATCATACGAATATTTTGTATCACTGTTCTTTGTCTACATTTCTTTCTGAGTCTATTTGTCTCGTTCTCTCTATTATTGTCCTCTTATTTTGCACGATGTATGCCGAACATATACATGAGTGTGCTGTTGTTTTGCCATTGCATTTTGTACGCGTAACCGTCGTATACAATTTAATAGCTGTCGTCTTTTTTTACCTCCTTCTTTTTTTGTGACTTACTTTCTTACCGTTCTGTTAAAAGGTTCGTAAAATATTCGTCGACAACTATTCATGTCAACAGACGCACATTTCGCACAAAACTCCCCCATTTTAGATAAAATTTTATTTTCTTCTTACATGAAACATTACATTTAAAACATGGGCTCTAAACCATCGAGACAAAATTCAACAAATAGTGAACCATTGGATCAAGGAACAATTAACGAACTTTGTCAAGATACTGGATTTTCAGAAGATGAACTTAAAGAATGGCATAGGTAACAATTCGAACAGATTCATATATTACTAATTTTCAACCAAATAAATTGTTTTGCTTTTTTTTATAGAAATTTCTATAAAGATTGCCCAGATGGCAGATTAACATTGAAACAATTCGAACAAGAATATGCAAAGATAATGGGGAAACCCACTCAAAAGACAGCCGACTATGTCAGACATATGTTTAATGTTTACGATGAAGATAGAAATCAATTTATCGATTTTAAGTAAGAATAAAAGAATATTGTTCTATTTCATTGAAATAGAAATTCAAAGACGATATTTTATTTTAAAGGATCTAGAAAAAAATGACAATATGAATAAGAAGAAATCGTTCAAATGTCTAACTATGGGCACGGATTGTATATAAATTAATAATAATATGTATAAACAGACTTGTGAACGTGTAGAGACTGTCACGTCTCTAGTTAATCTTAACATTTACCGGAGCTTTCGTTATAAATTGTCGTATTCATTCAAATAGAAAGACAAAATAAAAATCTTATATACATAAGAACGAAGAATAAACAGGAAGAACTATTTTGGGGAATAAGAGAAGTAATTACAATCGATGATATTAGTATTTTCTCGGTAATTCAAATACAATAATGCCCTGGAGCAATATCTGAAGTTGCTGCACTTCGGAGTAATAATAAGAATAATCAAAATTTATATTTCCAATCAGATTTGTACGAAATTTTGTATTCATTCAAAATATTAATCCTATACAATTAAAACAATGAACGTGTCCTACTCGATCTAATTTCTTAGCTAAACAGATTATTAAAATTATTTTTTATTTCCTATGTTAGATTTTCTATTTATTCTTTATAGAGTTAGATTAAATATTTTTAAATCAATTATTGTTAATTTATTCCGCTTTTGTTTTGTTTTATTTAGAGAATTCGTAATGGCTTTATCAGCTGCATCAACAGTGAATCGTTTGCGTCTTATTGAAACACTCTTTCATGTATTCGATTTAGATAACGATGGTAAAATAACAAAAGAAGAAATTGGTAAAATGTTGCATACACTTATCGATGTAACAAGTTCAAACAATAAAAATCACAATCATGCAAATGAACGCGATAGAACAAAACAGATTAGTTTACAGCAACGCATTGATGAAGCATTTGACGAATTGAATGCAAACGATGATGATCATATAACCAAAGATGAATTTATTGATTGGTATATGAAATCAGGCCTTCTATCTGATGTACAATCCGAAGAAATTAATATTACGGGTCCAGCTGAAATTGAAAAAATTGGAAAAAAATCACGAAAGCAAATCAAACGATCAATAAATACTAAATCAGTTAAAGAACAAGACGAAACTCGTAATCCAGGATTACATTCTATTCGTCATATGTCACGAATGACAGAGCGAAGAGTACCATCAAAATATGACGATGACGATAATGATGATGATGATTACAATAACAATAATAATAATAATCCAACAACCGTATCATCGAAGCATCATTATCATCATCAGTACGATGATGATAATCGTATTGATGATGAACCAAAACTAAATCGTCGTTCCTTACATTCAACAACTAGTGGCGATGATGCTGAGGTACATGTTTCAAGAGAAAATGAGCGTTGGCAACATTTATTTAATTCTGTTCTGGGACAAATACGTACACAACGTAGTAAAGACCAGCCAGCAACTACCAATGAAACAGATAATTATAAATCATGGAAACGTGAAGGTGAAGAGAGACTTAAAGTAGAATATTTTAAACATAAATCAAATAAGAGAGAAAATTCTTCAGATGAATCAACCACAAATCCAAAATTACACGTATCCAGAACATCAGATAGACGTTCGCCATCTCCTGATATTGTTACTATTCGATTATAACTAATGTCTTGTGGATTCATCTAATTTTTTTGTCTTCCAAAGTTTTCATAATCAATAAATAAGCTACAAGTGCGATAGTAATGAACATTACAATCATTACTATGCACTATTGTTTTTTCTGTTGAGTATCGTCTTGATTATTATTTTCTTATTCCTGACAATGTATATTACTGTGTTTCATTATTATTATTATTATTGTTTAAGCTGATTTCAAGAATAAAGACAACTATAAACGGATTTTCATAGTAAAACGAAAAGATTTTCCTTATTAGTATCGAAAATAATTACCAATTGAATAGAAGAAAACTAATTATATTAAAAAGAAGTTAACTTGCATTGACTATTTTTGAAATACTCTGTTTTATTTAGAACTTAAAATGAATTGTAAGTATCTTGTTATATAGATGTAAAACGGAGCTATATCTGTTAACGAAGTATCGACGTAAAAACAGATTAATTAACAAAATTTAATTGACATATTTGACAGAGTTATTTCTCTGGAATAAATATTATTATTTCATGTTTCCGAAAGAAGGATTACAAAAATGACAGATATTTTATTGTAAAAGCATTATTTTATTTTAATGTATTATTTTTGAAACTTTTCATTTACAGTTGGCAATAAATATGTGATCTAATTGACGAAGAAAAATGAAGTCGTAAAATTTCTTGTTTGATTACTATTGTATAATATTGAATGAATTTTTGAAACATAAAATTATAGATCTTTAACAAATTCTATGGGACACTAAATAATTTAGCTCGGCTATCTTTCATCAAAAACTCATGAATCTAGAAATTCTTTAGAGAATAACCGATGGGAATAATAATTGTTAATGTAAGTTTGAAAACATCGATTGGTATACCATCATAATTCAATAATAATTTGAATCTACTCATCTATAACAATAATAAAAAACATATACTCTTGATATTTGCAAGACAAGATAGCAAAAGCATCGTTTTTAATCATCTATAGTTAAAAAATCATAGTTTTCTAATAGCTCAACTCCCAAAGGTGTTGAAGACTAATTTCTCCAGATAAAAAAAACAGCCTGATACGTTTCAGAGACGTGCAGCCGTTTTCAAAATAGCCTAGATCAACTTTCTCATGTTACATACCTATTGTACAGCAGTTTTGTCAGTCTTTTCATTGAATTGAATAAAATTGTATTCATTATTTTCTAAATATGATGTTGATGAGCATCTCTTGCAGGTCATGCTGAACTTTGGATCAGTGTTTTTCTGTAGGAAAGTTTGTTTATAAAAACTAATCACGTTCATCACGCAAAACGATTTCATATTTAATTTATCTATCATCTGTTGACCAATCAGTGTTGGGTCAGCTAAATCGATTATCTAGGGCAAAACACTTTTAATAACTGAGAAAAAAAATCAAACTTTTGAATTTATACTTTTTTGATAGAGAATCTGAACTCTTATTTTCACGATTATAGATTAATAAAAGATTAAAATATTCATAAAAATATAATATTCTAGAATTATTTAAATGAAAATGACGTAGACGTTGTTCTAGTTTCAAACAACTTATACGATAATCACAAAACTAAAGCAAAATTTCTATTTCAAATTAACAAGAATTAGTTGTTTATTTACTTTCATTGTTGATAGCATTATATACTATATTATCTTTATAATTTCTTAAAGCATTCATTTCATATATGTATGATAAGCAAGACGAACTTTGACGATTTCATTAAAAGTAAATAATCAAATGGTTAATTAATATACAGAGAGATATATAATTATACTTAAATAAATGTGTACCAATTAGTTGAGGTGATTTAACCAAAGCAAGACTATTATTGAGGTACGTATCGAGAAATCATATGTTCATATTTCCAGTCATCCTGTGAAACATCGAAAGCTCTTATTATTTTCTTTCTGTTGATCCCAGAACGAAAATTTCTAGATTATGGATCGTTCATCTTTTAAGATTTCTGATGTATAATGACTATCAATTCGTTTCTGTTAAAGATTAATACTTCAACTCGAGAATCCATAAAAATTAAATATTTCGGCGATAGCCTACCATTTCTATTCGAATCTACATCGAAAGTCTGTTTACTAACGTTCCAGCGAACGAAACTATCGATGTTATCTGCAATAAATTGTATTCTACCGATTCAAAATTAAAACTTCTCATTCCTGAAGATTACTTTCGCCAATTACTAGAATATGTACAACTAAACGTACACATTTTCTTTTTAACATAACATATCTATGATCAATGTGACCGTGTTTCATTCAATGGACACATCACTGCAGTAATTTTCGCTGAAATCTATATGATTCATTGGGACGATAGTTATCTGCCCAGCTTAGTAAACAACGCTAATTACAATGTTATGTAGCTGGCGTCGATATGTAGATGATTTTCGCATACTCAATAGAAAAATAATCAATGGCCGAATTCGAAAACAAATTTCAAGTTGCAACTTACGTCGAAGCAGCCGGCGAATTGAAAAACGAACGAGATCTCAATCCAATATTCAAGAAAAGGCGAAAACGAAAAAAGCATCCATTTCCATCGATATCAATTAACCGGAAAAACTTTTTCTTTGAAATTATGCATATCATATACAACATGATTAAATGAAGCGAATTAAGTAAATCATCAACATCATGAGTCGGTGGGCTGGAAAGCTCTATTTAAATTAATCAATTTATGTTCAACAAGAATAACTAAACGAAAAATTTATCTATTATAAATAATTCTTCTTTTCGTAAATCAGTGTTAAACGGTTAAACTTGAAATTGTTTCAATGAAAAAACATTAGAAACATCTTATGAAATGTATTAAAATATAAACCCTATTGAACAATTAGTTACATTAAATATCACCAACCAGAAGACTACAGATAATCCGATCATTTTTTGCATTCAACAGTAAACTAAACAAAAATATGATTAATTTAATATTTTATGTTTTTATCAAACTCACTTCTTTTTTTGTCAACTTCTTATTATTGGTAACACTACACATACGAGCAATTTGTTCAGCACGATATTGTGCATCGCGATCACCTATATACGAATAATAGAATAATTATTGACTTATTTTTATGAAAATTATTGTAACTTTACACATATGACAACTGTATATGCCCGAATTTTTCCAGCACCGATCAATGAAGCACCAGAGATGTGTTCAAATTTTAGATGACATATGAGGCCAATCGTGCTCTTCAAAATGAAAAGCAATCTTTGACTGAAGACAATAGACCTCATTCTTTCGGTTACCTAGGAGAATGCGAGTTAGCAAGCCGAGCATTTATTTATCGTGGCATATCATTCATGTCTGATACTCTGCATTAGATTTATCACGGTACTTTTGTGCATCTAATAATGTTTCTACAATTGATTTTAATATACTATTTTATTGAAATAGAAGAGATTATTGCAATTATGGACTCAAATATTAAAAAAAAACGTCATGGTGCATATCCAAATGTCTTAATGAAATTAATATCGACCTAGGAGATATACGATACCCGAGTACAATAACGCGAGCACCCCGGAATATAGTTAAGTGCTTGAATTTTAAAGTAATGAATCTCGTATATTGCTATCGATTGGCTATCCTGTTTGTTTTTAGATATTTACCTGAGACGTACTATGAACATCTTAGAATATTATCATTTGTTATCACTATTGAAGAATCACGTAGTATCTCATCAAAAAATCTAAATCATATGGCATTTTTATTATCGAAATTTGTGGATGAATTCCCTTGTCGTGAACGATACATCGTTCAGGATATGCATGTAGTTAAGCATTTCGCAACAACTGTATCCGATTTTAGACCACTATTTAATTACAGTACATTCAATTATGAAAGTGTTAATGGTAACATATTTTCTGAGCTATAATTTATATTAGCCATATTGTCTTTGCTCCTTCTGTAGGATATTTGTCTACGTCAATTCATGGCACCAAATGGCTTGTCAGTGAATTGGTATGATATATTCTTATTATATAAACAAACCTATAAATTGTCGAAAGCACATTGTACGATATATTCTCTCGTACATTTCACAAGTGACGCATGAAATGTAAACAAACACAACCAAAAGCAAAAATCCGATAGGGGACAACTTTTGTAATTTGACTATGAGCTATTATTCAAAAACAAATGCCAAAGGACTGCAAAGTCGCACCAATGAAGTCAAGTATAAGTTCTCACTTGTCATTCTGCATAATGAAGTACAAACAATAAGAACTATTAATCAATAGCAAACGGCTCGTTTTACTCTTTTAGTCGTGCCTAAAAGCACAATATTATCAACAAAAGATAATTCTAGATAGAAAACATTTGCCGATGCTACTATAGTTTACACATACGTATATGGGTAGTATAAAATATGGAATAATTCGAAAAATATATTATACTGAAGAACAGAAAGAAAACGTTTTGGCAATACAATCATTACAGAATACAAGCTGCGACACCTTGAATATCGAAGGACAAATTTTTGTTAATGAAAACCTTATCTTCGGTAACATATTATCAAGTTAAGTGCATCTGATATCATTCGAAAACGTAATCAAACAAGAGTGTTATTATGAAAGGCATGATAAATACTATTTTACACGCTTTTCGAATCTGCGTGAATCTTCGTAGAGACTATTTTCATTATCGTTCACTTCACTCACTGTTCATAACATCGTTCAATAAACAGATTTGCTTTCTCCTAATCTGTGAAAGTTATTCTTTTACCCAATTCTCCCACTAATTCGAATCTGATCCTGAAAAAGATTTTCCACATAACTCCTCAGCCTACAAAACCCTCTTTCTGTCTATTAATGGTTACTCATGATGCAGACTTCATTTGAATTTGGACACAATTGTAATACCGTAGTGAATAGTGTCCAGAGAGCGGTATATCACATGAATGGTATGCATCAGTTATGGACACCACGGTTTTGTGCAACCGCAGCTAGAGAAAGCCGCTACAAGACGCGGTTTCACAAAACTGACTGCGGTATGAAGCGGTTTTACTTGAAATATTTTTACGTGGGTTTCGAAGTGAAAAAGCTGAATAAAGCATTGTACATGCCTATTATATGTACATATATTTAAAAATTATTTCTTCAAATATTAAAAATAATCTAAGTTTTTATTTTTTTTATTTATTTATTTTTACGTACACACAAATGAAAAGTGATGAAAAAGCTCCTAAATTCTAGCAAAGAATTCGCCATTCTTAATAAAAAATACAATATCATCACTCTTCATTAAATGTTTATTAGCACACAGATCATCAACCCACTGATGTAAAAATTCATTAAAATGTGATGATGTTGTTGATTGAGGTTTTTGCGAATCATTCTGTTTCTTTTGTTTTAGGTTTTGTTTAATTGAATTTTTTGGAATATCTAAAGACCGACGATGCAGAGATGGTACTGTAAATGATGTGGGGCTCTCATTTCTGAGAGCATTTTCTGGTGTATCATCATGAAAATGAAAATTAACAAAAAGTCTTTTAATTTGTAAATCTGTTTCAGGATTATTGTGAAGAATAACTTCTGAGCGAAATTGTGCTGGCTGTAGTTGATCATTCATTGTAAAACGTATAGGCTTTGAATAGGAATCAATGTTATCGTATGGAGAAGTATCGCCAATAAAATGTCGTTCTTCAACTTTACACTCGATAAGAAGAGACTCTGATGGTGAAGGACACGAAGGATACCAACATTTATTACGATTGTTAACTAATCTTTTTTTTGAATTCGGTGGTTGCGCTTCTGAATTTTGTGAGACGAAGAATTCTTGTACTTGATATGTCATTTATGGGTCTATAAAACAAGGATGATAAATTGTGAAATAATGTCTTTAAAGTTGTTTCGTTCTTCTATCTTTATTTTGTTTTTCAATTGCTTGTTATCTACAAATGTGTATCACACTCATCATCACTTTCTCTTTGATGGAAAAAAGGACAATCAGGTTAATGTGTTCTTTCATTTTTTTCCTCTCTCTCTCTCGCTCTGTCTCATTTGTTTATTTCTTTTTTGTTTATCAAGATAGATATTTTCAAAATTGGATAAATGAATTTTTATCAATACTTACCCGATTGAATAATGATTATATTATAAGTTGGGAAAATGATTGAGACCATATGATGTTTGAAGAGCAAATCGTTAGTCAATTTATTTATGCATTTATCATTCGATACTGTTATTCAGTATTTCAAAAGCAAACACTATTTTTTCTTTCTTCCTTCTTTTCTTTTCTTTTTCATTCTCACTCTCACATTTAGTTATCAGCATCCGACATTGTTGACAGACAAACACACGCACACACATTCATGTATCGCATCCTACGAAGGTAGACATAAACCACTTGTGCGTATGTGTATGCTGCAAGTTTCGTAGATTATTGTTTAGTCATGTTAATGGTGCTCTTCTCTTTTCATACGGCATCTCCAATTTAAATAAGACGAACTAGAGTATTACTTGCCATCAAAAAATAACAACAATTGTAGACGCATTAAAGAAACTGACAAAGTGTATATTGAATACAAAAGTCTTACTTGTGTTATTGAAGGTGAGAGAATGGCTGGTACGTGTCTTTTTTGACTGCTCTTTTGTATTGCATTAATCAGACTTAATTTGCAATTAATCTTACATCTTCTTTTTTTCAAAACTTCAATTAAGCGTTTTTTTTCTTAAATTTATACCCATTCGTTCGTCATCGTTATATTAAATTGATCGGTGGATGTGAAGCAACACGTAAAGAAAGTGACAAAAACACATATGAAAAATACTTTGATTTATCATGAAATGAGAAAGAAACTTGGAATACTGCTCTTGCTTTGGTACTGTTTTTTATTATTGATTGCTCGATAGACACAATTCTCTAGTGCAAATATGTGTTACAATTATAGAGTATATCAATTATTGTTTAGACAACATTCAAACATAATTACAATGCCAGAACAATCAAAATGTACTTACAAAAATAGTCAAATATTGAAACAGTAAAAGCATTAAATACGCTATTCGACCGTGATATATTAGGTTATTACGATAGTAATTAACGACAATCCTAAGAGTAGAGAACTAACGTAGACACGATCAGGTTTCAGAAGTTTTCAATATTAATAATTTTTCAGCTCTCTTTCACCTCAAAAAATCGATCTTGAATTGTGTGTAACTTCAAATCTTCTAAAATTTTAATCATTCATCAATACTGTAGCATAGAGACTAGAGCAACATCTTTAGTCATAATTCATAATTTTTTCGGGAGATATTCCATAAACATCAATTAAAAATAGTGCATTATTTGGTAAGCGGAAAGTTCTCTTTTGATTTGCATTCTATAGGTTATTGATTTCAATTTTATTATCTGAATGTTAGAATGTAGGAAATGGCGTAGCTTTTTATAATTTTCAATTCATCCGGATTGATAAGCCATGTGCTCGGAAAATCTCTAAAAAACTAATGATTGAATTAGAAAAGTACGCTTCAACATGAAAGTAAAAAGGTGCCATACCTCGAATTGCATCTTGCTGTTTCAAATATGAAAAGAGTTCAATAGATAAAATGACGATGCACAGAGAACACGATGTTTTGCGTTCAAAAACATATTAACAGACGAACGAAACATTTCTAAATTGTTCTGTAGGACAGACGCAAATTTATTTTTCAAACAGAAAATGACGAAAATTATTTAATGTTTTTGGAAGAAAAAAGAAGTGTCTATAGAGTATAGTATCATGCCACTTATAAAATATTAGATTTCAGATTATCTTCCTATCATGTATCTCAGGTTTCATTTTATTGACAAAACTTGACTGTTTTTACCAGGGAAGGAGGGGCACAAGAAAACGTTTTTGATCAAATAAGCAGTGTAACAAAAGTAGTAATAACTGCCAGAATAAAACTGGCATCAAAAGTTATTTGTAAGAAGAATATATATGATCTATTCTATTCGAAAACTACTGAATTTTAATATTCCTAATGAGTTGCTATTTTTCTAGAAAGTGCATGCCTTAAAAAAATTTCTATGTCAAAGATACTTCACCATAATCATCTTAGATGATATGACTTACTTTCTTTCATCATAGAGAAAGTAGTAAATTATATCTTACAGTGTCCAATCATTCACTCAATAGAAAAATAGTTAACTCTTTTGAATCTGCATAATTCGTATATTTCAAGAATATATTAGACTCTTCTTACGCATTGTTTTCACGTCAAATTTAGAGAAGCAGGTGTAGTTTTTTTAAACGTAAATAACACTACGAACTGTGAAAATTAATGTATACAAATTGTCGAGTCATTTATGCTTTTACAGATGCTATTGACTTTTGAAAACGAAGTTAAAGTTCAGCGCATTCTTTTGAAATAAAAAATTTCTTTTTTTTTATACTCGAAAGCAAAAAGACAATACCATCTTTTTGTGATCATACACGATACTAATTCAATCTTACTATGGATCAGTTTTTACTGAGGATTATACATATCCATTTTAACTCTTGAATAATTGTCTTAGTGTGGATATTTATCTGATAGAACTAGTGTAAATACTTTAAGCAATGTCAACATTCGATAGTCATTTTGAAAAGTTCTGATTGTTACAGGAGTTTCTTAAATATTTATTCAAGTATTCTATGTTAATGTCAATCTACTTCAAAACATTGACAGATCTATTGAAAACTTAATCTAGATATATTATATCTGCAACTATTTTTATGTAATCAGCTGAAAATTTAAGATAAATAATAAATTATTTCTTGAAAAGTGTCCCGGCTATGTTATTATATTATGATATATTGTATGATAAGTACAAGTACGAAAACAAGAAATAAACATTACGTAGACGAAAATAATTATACCAAAATACGAGAACCATACGATATGTATACATATTAAAACACGACAGAAAAATACAACGAAACATGAAAGACATTGAAGAAAGCTTCTTCTCATTGTCTCATTGAAATATGAATAAAATTGCAAAGCGAATAGACGTTCTACTGATTGAAATTAAAAGAAAATTATTTAATCCCCATTTCAGGTTGTATTTTCACTGGGCTCACAAAAACGGAGAGCTTGAAATTCTAACGAATCGATAGAATTTTCTCCATTTGAGTTTCTTTTTATCGTATTCGTTAAGTGTAAATTTGGTAAATCTTCGCATTGACCATCGGGCAACGTTATCACGCTAGGTGTTGATTTACTTGATCTATAATTCGATTGGCATAGTGAATCAGTAAATGTAACGCTTTTAACAGATGTGCAGGTATTTAACTTTGAGCATGAGTTATCATGAACATTCGAAGCTGATGCAAAGTTATTACTGTTTTCTTTACTATTAGTTGTTTGACTGTTTTCGAAATGTGATTGTTTGCGTTGATGTGCATTATAACTGCTCCACGAGTCGCTGGATAAACCGGGAAAAGAATAAGTTTTTGATGCTTGTTTTAATATACCCTCAAAAATAAAGAAAAGACAAATTAAAATACAATTAGTATTATTTAATTTGACATACTTTAGGTTTGAATTCTCCATTTAATTTTGGTTTTGATTTTAAATCAACTTGATTTTCTAGCGTCTGTTGATGAACAACTGATGGAGTTGGCATGATTTGTGATGTGTGAACAGTATTGTTTTCGAGTTCTACCCGTTTATTATCATAAGCATTATTCGTTTTTTGTTTTTCTTGATTTTTAGATTTCGATTTAATTTTTGAGTAAAAAAGATTTCTAATAAAATTTTGCGAACGTCGACGATTACTTTTTTCTGTTGATTTCGTTGTCAGAATTTTATGCTTTTCGAGTACTATTTTTGGTGCTTCACCAGCGAAAGTTATTTTCTGTTCAGTAGAGATTGATCGTACCGATAGATGAAATTTATGCAGATGATGAAAGTCTTTAGCCATTGGTCGTATCTAAGAAGGTACTTGACTTCGACAGAAAATGAAACGACAAAATGACAAATCTGAATACGAAAATAAAATATGACATAAAGTGTCTATGCTTTTTATCAATAGATATCAACGAAAAACAAAAATAAACTTCGTTGGTAATTTCTATGAAAGCAAAGAACAGGTATAATAGGTTTTTCTCTTCCTTTCTTTCTGTGAACAATAATCGTCGAAAGGTTAAGCTATTATTAATAGATGAAACAAAAATTTGATTGGTAACAAACTCGTTGATGTTATCATTCGGTGATATTATTCACGTGATAGGAAATTTAAGACTAACAATGAAATTAATAATTGAAATAAAGATACTATGAAAAAGCAAGTGATTGATAAAAAAGAGTCAAAACTAGCATTTGAATATTTTTCTTATTGTTTCTATTTTACTGAAAAGTAAAATGTATTTGGTTCTCTATGTACCGAAAGTGTTAGATATGTACAGATAACATCATTTTTGTTCGAACTTCTATCTGAAATATTCTTATAAATAGTGAGTGATGACTTTCTTGTTTTTTTTTCTTAAATATTTTAGTTTGAATAAATTATTAATTTTTCTACTATAATAATATCTATCCATTGATAAAACTTAAATTTATTGATGATAATAAAATGGTAAGAATGAGAAATTTCTTTGCAGAGTGTCAAATAGATTTTTGCAAAAATGTATTTAACATTTTCGATAGTGAATCATTCGTGTTCTGCACAAAGTTAAAAAATTCTACCGACGATAACTGTTGTCTAAAAGTATAAAATTTATCGTACAATTGTAACCGACTACGAATTCAACGTTAAGAACAAACAAAATATACCCTACGACCTGTTTGTATAATCAAAACATAAAACCTAATAAATCATAATGTGATAATTGTGCCAGTCTACTTGCATTGCATTGGTATATCATTAAGATAAATGCCACCTTGTATAAGCATTAGAGAAACTATAAAATTATAGCTATCATTAATTGAGTTTATTCAGTTCGTTTTGCATTGATTTGTTTTTGACCAAACTTTGTCTATTTACTAATGTTTTATAATGATAATAGTAGCGATAAGATGTCTGGTACTGTTAATCAAGAAACAAATCAATCTGAGATGATGTTGAGTAATAATCTCGGGATTTTATTCTTCATTAAGATGTGATAGATAAAGAAATAAGAATGGAAATTCGTTTATCTCAATCAGTGTATTGTAGAAATCTAGTACATTGTGTTATGTTTTGCACACTATCTATTTGGACTAGATCGTTAAACTGTTAGGTTCCAGGCACTTCTCATTTGGTTCGTCATACACGATAAGATAAATATCAAACGATCTATAGTGATAAAGACCAATGAAAAACGAGGAGCATATTATCAATCAGCAAAGCACTGTTCGAATAAGTCCATAGAGACTGATTACTCTATTACTGATTATAAAGATGACAACAATTTTCCACAAGAGATGTATCTTGATAAGAATTAGTAGGTCAAAAACATTTTACATGAAGAGCATCACCAAATGACGTATAACCTATCACGATCAAAGACAAAAAGATGAGATTGACGAAGAAAGTCCTTCAAGTATTGAATCAATCTTTACTATAAACAATGCGCATAGTATAGACCTTGCTCAGCTATGCTTATCTTAAATAAAACTCTCGTAGGCCATTATTTCTTACTATCGAGATACAACAATTTGATGAAATTTTCTAATACCATTTCAGTATTCTCGTCATAATCACTTATAATATGATTTTTCTAATTGCACCTGACCACGTAGCTTAGAAGAATTAATTATCAAAATACTTTGTTTTCAAAGTTTCCCAATTTTTTCCTGATCCTACTTAAAACTACGACATGTGTAAAACCGTACTTTTTATATAGTTCCTATAAATTTCAAATTCTTACTTCCAGATATAAATAATGACACTTTATGGAAATTTTACAATATAACTACTAACCTATTAAAGTCTCTATATAGATGAAGCTTTCAGATTGAAAACTTTTTTTGTTTTCCGAGTATTCAAAGTGAAGATTATGAAATTCTATTTGAAATATTTTTAAAAGCATTTTACATATGATTCGGTCAGAAGAAGAATATTGTTTGGTCTAGCTACAAAATTTCTTACATCAGTCAAGCAATTTCTTTGGTACCTGTTCTAGAAAATGGGAAATCTTTTGTTTTTTTTTCTCTTGTAATGGATCTCTTAATTTTACTGTGGTTCGTCTATTACATGATTTCAATAGTCATGAGTTTGAAAGTTTATCATTGTTAAATTACACATTGATGCTCATGTTCTATTCAAAATTACACATATTTATGACTTTAGTTAAGAATAATCGTAAATACACATAGTTTTTGAGATGAATATATTTTTTGTTATAAGCTCTAATGGTCTAGTTGATATTTATTAGTATCTTTGAAACAGAGAGAGATTTCGATTACATTTTAATCAAAAATGAAGGCAACTATAATCCCGATATATATATATATATATAAAATACATAAAACAGTAGAATAGGAAAAAGTTGCAAACAAAAAAAAACATTTAACTGATTTCTAATACAAAAATATAATCCGAAAGAAAATAATAACTTCGTTCCATATCACCTTCACATAGGTATGGCAATCGAGTTATTTTTTTCAAGCGAAAACCTAATGGTTGAAAAATATTTGAAACAATTTCATTTATCTGTTCTTCAGGTAAGCGACCTTCTATATGAATTGATTCATCTGGACGATGATCTTTACTATATTCAAAATAAGGCTTGAATGGTAAAACAAGACTCATTATAACGCGGCCATGATTAGGATTTGTATGTTCGCGAATTTTTTTCAGTAAACTCAATGGTTTTTCACAGCGATCAAGAACATTCAAACATGTTATTACATCAAATTTTATATCTCCCCATTGGTCTACATCAAGTATTTCATAACCGTAATTTGAAAGACTCCATTGCATTACTTTCGACATCTCAGTAGCGTAGACTTTTTCGAATAGGCTAGCCATTCTTCTAGTGACAGAGCCATCTCCAGCACCAATATCAAGAAGTGATTTGAATTTGAATTGTGAATTATTATCGAGGCCAAGTAATGTTTTAAATTGATTAGTAGAATAAACAAACATACGACCACGACCAATTAAACCATTAGCTAAAATAAAATATAATGATAAAAATGCTATAGACTTCTTAAAGAAAAAAAAACAGTTTCGTCTGAAATGTTAAATAGATTTATAAATATCGAAAATTTCTTTGTAATAATTTTCAATTTATATAAAAGAATATCATTTCAATCTATGAGATTCTTTTGTGTCCAATGCTATTTATCTTCCATAAAAAGAACCTAAGAATATACCTGATGTTCGTGCAATAAATACAGTCAATAAAGAACTAGCAAGACTATGAAGAACTTGTAGAGGTATATTGTCAGATCTGTTTTGACTTTGATCTATAAATTTAGTTGTTTCTTCATCTTCATGAAATTCATGAAATAGTTCTCGAAGTTCTTCAAGTAAAAGATCACTTCGTGTTAAACGATACCATGTACGTCGATCAATATCTGCTAAATGTTGATCGCTTTCTATTTTTGTTAATGCAGCTTTAGCCCAGCTGGAACGAACCGGTAAATAAGATGTTTTTTGACATTGAGAACAACATTCGTTGTTGTTTATCATCTAAAAAATAAAGAAGCTGTATTTTATGGTTCTGCACAAAATCGAATGAATCGTCTATAGTTGATGAAAGATTAAACCCATTAAAAAAATCAGTTCCTTCAATATTATTATCTTTTATTTAAAAGATAAAGCTAAAGTATGTGTCAAAATTCTTAATCAAATTGATTGATAAATTCTGACGATACTATGCAAGAAAACTAAAACGTATTAACGAAAACTAAAACTATGAATTAATCATATTTTCATTCTTCCATAATCCATCTATTTTCACTAAGCGTCTTCTGGGCAAGTCGCCGAACATTATTCATTATAGTCTTCTTCACCATTAACATTTATTAAAGTAATACCAATACCTTTTTTTTGTATTTAATCTATGTACATTTGATCACATAGTTGTTTTTAAAATTTTCAGTACTCACATTATTAGTATCATGCATGAATAGAATTAATAATTATTTCCATGCAGCGTATGCTGACTTAGCCCAATCGTATATTTTTTATTTAATCTTCAAACGAAACAGGAAACGACAATTATAAGATGACAAAATAAAATAATCAATAGATAGATAGACATATATATATTTCGGAATAGAAAAAGAAAAATATTAATTTCCTTCACAAATTACAGTAATAACACTAGCTTCCATAAGAACAGGATCTAAACATCTCATAGCCGTACTACTAACAATTTCTTCAAGTAGATTAGTTATAAATCTATCGTCGTTATTAACAAATGACCAAAGATAATTGTATAAATAATTAATATCAACTTGTACTTGTTGTAAACCATAACGTGAAAATGTTTTTAAACGAATACATTCTAAATATGTTTTTAAAAGTAATTTAATTATGCTAGATAAAATAGAAGTTTTTTGAAATTGTAAATCAATGAATATATCTAATTTTTCATTGAATACTTTATGAAAATTAAGTTGAAGATTTCCCGTGGAACCAGCTGAACTACCTGGTCCACCGCTTGTTGCTCGATCAAGTGCTGAACTACGTGGCATTATTATTGTACGACGGCCACCATCAGAACTTCGAGCTCCTCCACTAACTAAATTCGAACGATGATAATAACGACCATAAGACGATGATAATGGTGCTGGTGATTGTTGATCATTATACAGCGTTTTGACTTGTTTATCTATTTGAGTTAAATCTTCAATAATACGTTTCATGACTGAACGAACATGTCTTGGTTCGACAGTATTCAACCAATCTCGAGTTTCAATGGATTTACGAAGCATTTGAGACAATGTGAAACCTTGAGAACAAATATATTGTTTAAGTAATTGTTTGGCAATAACACTAAATTGTTTTTGAACTGCAATTAATTTCGAACGATCAATTGAAAATGATGATGATCCACTTTTTTGATTATCGCCTAAATAGTTGAGAGAATGATAAAGAAATTTATTTAATGAACACTATATATATATATATACTTCGTTGATTATTTTCAAGAATAAAATGAAACTTTTCTTCAAATACCGTACATAAATAAGGCGTTGAACTTGAATCAAAATCAAGTATTAATTTACTCAAGATAAGTAAAAGAATTGGCGGTGATGATTGTTCATGTCTTATCATTGTCGAATGATTACTTGCTGTTGTATACTCATGTTCAAAATAGGTTATTAAACGTTCTAATAATGTTAAAAAGAATCCGTTCCATACATGATTTGTAGCAAATTGTTTCATAAATACATTTTTCTTTCCTGCATAACAAACTAATTCTGTACCATCGAGAAATTTTGATAAATTTTGAAATGTTGATTTAATATCATTAGTCAATTGTTTAAGCATTTTATCAACACATTGTGATAAATTAAGTTGCGATGGTTGATGGTCAGATGACGATTGGATTTGTTCATTTGTTTGAATGATAGTTAATGATTTTCTTAATTCAATAATTTGATCGTGAAAATGTCGATCGATACGTGAATGATAGAATTTTAAACGACATTCAATGGCAAATTTTAGAAATGCATCGAGCATTGAACGCATTTTTTCTAATGCATGTTGAGTAAATAAATATTTGTAAATATCGCTTGATGAACGACGTAAAAATCGATCTATTGCGCGTACATATAATTGAATATCATCATCTTGTCCATAGTATTTTGATTGAAATAAATCATGAATAAATTTTATATAGGCAGAATACAGTTCAAGTAAAAAATTTTCTAAGTAATGTTTACAACGTTCTTTATATTCATCTTCAATACTTGGCGATGATGGTATATTCGATGGATTTCGAATGAATAATAATTCATAAGATTCAACAAATTCATGAAGATTTTTCATGTAGGAATTATAGCTTGTATCAACAAATTCAAGTATATCCATTGGATGCATTTCTATTTAAAAGAATACGACTTATAAAATATGAATGGCATTTAATTACTATATCGAAAATTAGTTTCAATTAAAAACAAATTCATATTACTTACGTTGTGCAACTACATTTGATATTGTTACTGATGATGACAACGATCCCAATTGACTTTCAACAACAATAAGTTGTTGTTTCATTAATTCTAATGGATGTTCGAGTCTTAATTTATTTTGTGAAAGATATTGTTGAGCAAGATAATCAGATGATTCACCTAATTGCAGTAATAATTTAACTACATTACTTGATGATGTTTGTTGTTGATCAATTCTTGATTTAAGTTCATCACGTATATTAGTCATTGTTTCTTTACATGTCTGTTGAATATGATTAAACGATGGTATATGTTCATATTTTTGTAATGCTTTTAAGGCTTTTGTATAAGTATTTACTGCTAAATCATATTGATTATCATCAGCATATTCTTTTAATTTAGCCGGTAATTGAAATAGATATTGTAGTTTTTGTAATAGTACATGTATGCTTGTTAATTTACGTATTTCTTGACGGCGATTATCGAGTGTTAAATGTATTTGATGATTATTTGAATTAATCGTACTCATTGTTGATATAAGACGTGTCATTTCATCTTCCATTGTTTTAAAGTCTTTTTTCATTTGACGAATTGTATCTGTTGCTGATATAAATTTATTATAATTTTCATACACAAGTGTTTGCATTTCATTATCAAGAGTTTTTATTTGTTTGGTTAATAACTGTTCTTTATCTATCAATTGTGCTAAACGTGATTCGCGTAATAATTTAGTAACATACGTTTCAGGATCAAAGCCAGGACTATCAATATTTGTTGGATCATATGTAGAAGGAAGAATATTTGCTTGAGAATTTGATGTAGATTTTGAAGGATCCATTGCCTAAATATTACAGTAGTTTATCTGTAATAAAACGATAGGTAATTGTTTATTGATTTCAAATGATACATATATATATATATATTTCTTTGTTTCTCAATTCTCATCGATCGAGATTAGATTCATTGATCAAAGTTTGAATCATTTGAATGTAAAATAAAATAGAAGAAGAAGAAGAAGACGAGAACAAACCTGCATCTCGTTCGTCAAGAAGAATCACCATAGAAAAAGATTTATTCAAGTTGGTTGATCGATTGTTTGTTAGCGCCCTCTGTTGTTTACTCATCAACCAAAATCTCTCACTCAAAAGCACATTCATAAAACACTTCCACAAAATTTATTTCGAGGTATACAAAACACGCTTACGCTATTTAAGAGTATGAAATGTATCATATTGTTTTCTGTACAACGTGAATAACGGAATTCAATTCTTTTTCAAAGGAACACATATTTTAACGTAACCGAAGTAATTTATCTAGGCGAAATAGATGATATCAATAGAAGTCTTGAAATAGTTTTATTGGTAGCTATAATTTTTGAAATTTATTGTATTTGTTCGTTCTATAGGTTTTTCGTCATTTGATTTTAGAAGTTTGAACATAAATCATGTTTTAACTTTTATTCACTTCATGCTGGGATCGTGTAAAAAGAAATAATTCAATATATAACATGCAATTCCAGAGCTATTTTTAATTCGATAAACTAATATTAAATTATTCAAATAGTCTGCCATCACTATCATCTGTCGAGTTTTCTGACAAAAGACTTTCTCAGCAATGAGTCATTTTAAATTGTCGCATACTATATATATATATATATGATCAAGAAGTTCTTAAAAGCAATTCAAAAAGATATAACTATTCTTCTGGCAAAGATTGAATGAGTTCTTAATATTGCGAAGTATATTAAAACCTTGAACCACCGATCTTTGAACGTTCGACCTGTGTCTTTCCACAGACGATGAACATGCCCATATGTCCATATGGAACTCCATCAATCTTTATTAATAGAAATAGATTAACAACTAATGATATCTTTTTTTCCGGAAAAATAAATAACAACTCTCTAATTATGATCTAGTTGTATTTAGAGATAGAAAATCATCACACTCATCTAAGCATCCTTAAGAATACTTTTTAAATTATACTAAACTATATACTATCGTCTTTTGTTTGTTTGCTTTTCTGTGTGAAAGTTGATTTTTCGCTGTTAGGGCTTGCAAATAATCACACAAAACTACAACCCAAAGAATTGACAGATGTTCCTCAAATTAGTTGACGTTTTAACTGCCATCCTCTCCCCCGGACATGAGAGATGAATAAAGAGATCCAGTTGCTGTTTGTATATACTAGGTCACATACAAATCTAGTTATTATTTTTAGCAGACTAATTATTAATTTATTTTGCTACGGTAAGAAAATATTTTCATTATTTTTGATAAAAAACAGAGCCATATATAAATTCTCTTCAAATACTATCAGCAATTCTTTTCTACATATCTAACCCCCACCATCAAATACTTATTGTAGTCTACGACTAATATATATAGTGTTTGGATAAATCACAAAGAAATCAATGCCATAAACCTAAAATGAACAAATAATTTCATCTTTTATTCCTTTATTTAAAAAAAACGATATGATTTTTAAGAGCATTCGACGGTAAACATCATATATTTTTAATTTCTATAGAATCATTCTTTTCAGGTTGTGTTTTATCACGTATGATTCCTTTGTGGGTTGTTACCGTCATTCGTGCGATAATTGTTTATATACGTATATATATATATTATAATGACATGTTTTTATTTTCTATTAAACATTCAGCAAGTATTGGTCATAGTAGTTCTGACACAAAAAGAAGCTTATGGATGCCTCAATTAGTCTCTACTTCTTCTATAACTATGGTTTAAATTTACAGTTGGAACAGAAAATCTTATGAGTACCTTGACAACAAGTAATTTCATCATGTTTTTAACATAAGAGAATATTAATATTATAATCAATGAAGATAAAAATTCTTTTCTGAAGCCTTTTCACATCTTTTGTCGCTCGGGGTCTGGTGTAACCTGAGCTGCCAAAATCGTGTTTTCCATTCATAATTCAAATGTAAACTAATATGATCGAAGGTGCGTCAAAAATCTTTTCTAAGTTATTTATGACCTTGGAAATAGACGATCTTGTTCCTTACAACAACAACAAAATAAATAAATAAATATACAATAATAAATTGTTTTCCGTCTATTAAATAATAATAATTTTTTGCTAATTTAGTTTTTAATTCTGCTCTTAGAAAACTAATAATGTCTTATTTATTGAAAGAGTACTTGATTTCTTTCATTGATGCCGTCTGACCTTAATCAATTTTTTTCCTATTATATAATATTTTAATATAGTAAAAAGAAAAGTCTTGGTTGAGATTTTTTAAAGAGCCCATAATCTGGGATGAATGTCTGACTTAATTTTAAAAAAAATACTAAGTATCGCCATGATAATAAAAACATTAGCACCATTGAAAACTTGAGTAATTTTCTTTTAATAGCAATAAACAATAGCAGAATGATTGATTTGATCAATGCAAACTGCCTAATTATAACTAAAAGCATAGCCGACTTATCGCATACTATGAAAATAATTGTCAATATGATTGATGAATTCTTTTTTTCTCCTTTATCTTTCTTCGGCACTAAGTGTACGTTTTATATGCATCTTTATGTTCATTATTTCCAAATTAAATTTCCAACTGCAATGTGATGATTATTTTTTTCATAAACACGATTTTTTAGACTTTGCCAATAACTACCTGTAACCGAACATCGGAATCGTTTAAAGAGATCATTAAATTCTTCCATAGTCCATTGAATTCTTATAGGTTGACGAGATCTTGTTTGGAGATCAAAACGAACTCGTCGTTGTTTATTATTCTTTTTTGAAGGCTTTTCATCATTCATTTTCTAATTTTTTAATGTCAATTAAATAATAAAATACACAAAAAAGTCAATCTATAATATCTCAATTGGTTGTCAATAGAGATATTAGTATTAATTTATTTATTTCCCTCGTAAAGTATGTAACACATCATACGTCATATATCACATTGCGAGAAAAAAAGAGAGAAACATATATTCATATACACGTACTGTTCGATGATGACTATTACAAAAGAACGAAGAAAATAGAGTAAAAGTAAAAATAAATGGGAAAACGAAACAACATATGCTTCGAAAAAATTCCAGACTAGACCATTTATTATGTATTTCTATTTTCTATAATATACATGCGCTTTTTTCCAGTCTATTTCAGAACGTATTCAACGTGCATATTTAGATAGACCATCCTAAATATTCAAAAGAAGTAAAGATCAGAATATTTTCAAATAAACTTACCAGTAAATAATATTGAATACAATAAAAGCAACGGGGAAAAGAACTGCGGAGACAATATCAACCTTGTTTGAAAAATAAAAACAGTAAATTCCGAGGATAATTTTCTTTTGCTATTAACTTACAAATTGTGCACTGTCACGAATAGGCTTAGCTGGCTGCGCTATACGAGCCGGCTGAGGCACGGCAATCACTGGTGGTGGTGGTGGTGGTGGTGGTGGCGCAATAGCTGGTGTCGATGATGTTACATTTGCGTTTGACATGGATGAATATTGTACATGAGAGCTAGTATTACCACTTGTATTTCTATCCCCACCACTAGATTTATGAACCAGTGTCTCCATCATTTCACCACCATCCTGTGCATCATCTTTTTTATAAAAATGTACTTGAGCAAGACGATTTCCAATAACCTAAGAAGATGATATAGAATATGTTTCTGCAAAATAATGTCACAATATATTACACAACAGATAAACTCATACAATATAGAAATAGATAAAAATCTGCTTGTAAATCATATAACAAATAATAAAATTAAAATAAAGAAACTAATAATATTATGTGTATAGTGAAAATTATTTAAAACAAAATATAAAATAATTTGTGATGGTAAATATGTGAATGAGTGAAAGAAGAAGAAAAATAATAACAAGGGGGGGAAATATAATCTAGTGACTAATTTACTCTCTCAGCAGCAAAAGATGAACCATTCTGTAGCCTTTGAATCAAAGTTAATTTCGGCGGTCTGTTCGAACTTTTCTTCTATAAAAATAAATTTTATAATAATAATAAAAATACTAAATTCTAGTGTATTGATGATTGCAAGAAATAACAGAAAATAACAAAAGAAAAAGAAAGTCTTTTGATTTTGTTATACAAACAACTTACTTCTTTTGAAAAGCGAACTTGCTGTCGTAATTCACCTTTGCGTGCAATAACATTGACCAATGCATATTCAAGTAAACCAGCAAAAACAAATACAAGGCATGCTGACATCCATACGTCAATTGCTTTGATATAAGACACACGCGGGAGTTGTGATCGTATACCTACATACAGGACATATATCATATTCTCTATTGCTAATTAGTATGACAAAAGGCATTAGGCAAAGCAAAAAAAAAGCAAGAGGCGCTATGGGATTTATCATTGTTACCTGAGCTTTGTGTAGTAACGGTAAGAACAGTTAAAAGCCCGACTGAAATTCTTGCTGGAACCTTAATATATATATATATATATATATATGTATATATATATATCTATGAATGAAAATATCAGCTCTAATGTATTTAATAATCTTACCGATTTATGATCAATCCAGAATGAGACAAATGAAAGAATTACAATGAGCATTGATGGAATATAAACTTGAACTATATTAAATGATTTTCTTATGTTTTTTCTTCTTCTTCTCGTCAAATAATAAGCACGATTAAACTCACCGAGATAATAACCAAATAGACGCTTTAAATGAAGCACAACAAGAAGGCATGTAAAACTGCCTAGAATATTAATCGTTCGAAGAAAACAAAGCTACTATATAAGTGATGATAGAAAAAAAAAACTTTCTTCATTGACACATTTCTTTTTGCTGCTCATGTAGATATCAAAGAAAAGGAAACGGAAATTATTTATAATCGGAAAAAAAATATTATAAAAAAGATACTGAACAATAAAATGTAAATTAGTGCATGTGTTTAAATATAATCACGGCTGAATAACACAAAATACTAGTGCATTAATCATTACATATTGTGTGTTTAAATAGTTGTGCAAGCAAAATGCGCGTGTCTGTGCTAGCTTTACAATTGAAAAAAGCACAAAAAGACGTGTGTTTTTTTGTACCTTCAGCTTTTGTTGTTAAAGTAACAATGCAAAGCAAACTTAATAAAGTTCGTGCAGGATGTGATTTATAGTCGACCCAAAACGCAACAAATGATAAAGCAACTATCAATGTTGCCGGTAAATACAGTTGTTGGATATATAAATTGACATTTCGTTGAAATGCTAGGTGTACTTCAAGACAAGTGTACGTGCCTATGAGGGGAGTGAAGGAAAACTTAGTTATCACAAAGTAAGTTAGAATTGGTGCTGTATATTATTAGCAATACAATGAAATTGTGAGAGAAATGAAGAAAGTTGTTTTTTCTTTCGAAAATTATGAATAACGTAGATATCTAACCTGTTGCTGTTGTTCGATTACAATACCGTGCTTCGTGGTTACTCAAAACAAAGTCAGGCATTTCAAGGTCTTCATTTACTCTGATAGCACTTATATTTTGGGTTTCATCCCAAAAGAACGCCAAATCAGTTGTACCAAAACCGTCTAAATCAAGACCAAAATATAAATCAGAAAATAAAACAAAAAAAAAGTAATGTATGGATTAATTAAATGAATACTGTTCTTTCTTTTTTTTTAATTTATTATTTGAAAGATTTTTTTTTCATATAAATTCCTGTTTGTTTTTTAGATAGAAAAAAAAAGCTTAAGACGACTTCTCTAGAGAGATTTAACGTACAGCTGCCAATGTTGACAACACATGTTTGATTATCAAGTGGAAATTTTTGTAATTTCATTTGGCAATCAAGTTTAAGTAGAAGTCTAAACATATAATAAATATATGAAATAATAATTTATGCTGGATTTTTCGTTAAATAATAATCAAACCTTTGACTGTACAGTACTTTTCCATCGAGATGAATACGAATTAATCGATTGGGTACTGTGATGTCACTTCGTTTACCTTCTTTAGCATTACGAAAAAAAGAATCAGGTACCCATATACGATCAATAAGTGAATAGTGCAATGTAATCTGTGGTGATTTTTTTGCCCAATCTGTTCCTGAATAATTCAATCTTGGATCGTACCATGACTGACGAAAAATCAAATCAGTATTATAATCCTAATCAAAGAAAAGCGACATATAATGAATATAATTTGAATAAAACCAGCTGTATTCTCATTAATGAACATGTCTTACCATGTTAACTTCATTGATAGCTGAAATCGTGTTAATATGAATCGTCATCGTCACATTGCACGGTTCTGTAATAGAACAGTCTCGTGAAAATAAAGGCTGAAAAATAAAATTCAATGTACTAACTTCGCTGATCAAAAAATGGTCGAATTCGCCTATCATAATGGCTTGAATTAATGAGTGTATCAAGAAATTCTTCAACTGTATTTATTGATGCATCATTGTGTAATAAATTTGCACTAGAAATAAGTGTGAAGATTATTGTTACAATATATAGATCGATGTGTAGACACATAGTTTGTTGATAATCACGAAAGAAGATGGATAATACGAATTTGTCGTTATTTGTCTTTCAGTAGCGATGTATCGCATCGATTAATTTATATATATATATATATATATATATTTACATAAAAGTGCGCACAGGAAGGCCAAAAAATTCTTAACACGATATAACAAGCACATACATCTTTTAATAAGGAATCAGTTGCGGCGAATGCTGACGGTATATTGATGCCGACATGTTGACATTTTGCACCAAAAAGGATAAATAAACACTTATCAACCGTATATTAATAAGAAAATTAATTTATTATGCGAGATGTTACGGTTTACTGCTTGGTATGATACGTCTTTGTTAAAGAGGTGCTCGTGCACAAAGAATCAACTTTTATCTGACTGCTTGACTGACACTTCGTTGTAGCAATGATGAGCCCGTGTGTATTCTCAATGAAGACACACAAAATGCAGAGATTTACAACAGCAATAATGATGAAGACATACAACCGACAAGAAGTAAAGACGAAAGATAGAGAAAAGTGTCAAAGAGAAAGATAGCGAGAAGTAGAGAGGGGGCAAACGGAAAGCACAGAGAGAGAGAGAGAGAGTAAGCGAGAAAGAGTATAACAGGAAAACGCAGAGAAAAGAACTAGTCGACGAAGGAAGAGTAGTTCGTCATGCCGTCGAAAGGAAATATTAATACAAGAAGCGCGTTCTTAGCTTTCAAAAAAATAACAATAAAAACAAAAATTAATTAACTATCAGATTAACTCTCAAATCCGGATGTACAAAAAAACACATTTTCATTTAGAATATATATACAAGAAAACAAATTTGTCTTCGTATAATGCTTGGTCTTTTCTAATGAGATTTTCCTATGTAACTACAATCGAACGCTCTCAATGCGTATTTATCGCTAGTAAAGATCCAAAATTAAACATATAATTATCATCAATAGAAGCGCCATTATATTGATGATCATCCGGCGTTGTCTTTCTCGGAAATAATTAGATACCCTATCGGTAAAGTATAAAGCTAATCTTAAGCTTAAATCCTATATTGATGATAGGTTTGATACAATATATTTCCGTTGTTTCAATTAACTCAGTGAATAAGACGCTTAACATGTGCTGTTAGTTTGTTGATTACTTGCCAATTCATCTGCGCTCTTGTTTTCTCTCGCTCATTGACGAAACAATCAGAATTCTAGAAACTTTTTATTATAACAGCAATCAATGCAGTAACAATCTTCAACTTGACGTACTATATAATTTCTCTATACATTTTCTAGCTACTTTCTTTTCTATGTGTCTGAATTGACTTTTCCATCATTTGTCAAGAGCGTATGAGCGAACACGACATAAAAATATAGAGAACGACTTAGGACTTATTTATTAGACTTGTGATAGTTTCAATTAACAACACTCAACGAATGTTTATATCTATACAAACTAAGATATTGAATAAAAGATGCATTTTTTTTCTTGCTGCTGCTTGAAGCGATCTTATGTACAGTAAACGTGCATATGTGTAATTCAACATTTTTTTGAAGACTAAAAAATACTATAATAATGATTGTTATGGTAGTAAAAACAATAGCAAGTGGTTCCCCATGGCGAGGTGCTTTTTTCATGTTATGCGAAGAGAAATCCTTGTTGGATTAAATTTTCTCTGGTAATGGTCAAGGACTAAATGTATTCGTTAACATATTTATGTACACACATATATATGTATATATAATAGATTTTCTATTATGTAAAAACGCATGAAATCAGTCTATAGTATTTAGACATGAAATATATTCTGAATGATGATAGATATAGCTATAGTGAGTTCATTAGTCGTTTTCAAGCGGCTCTGCATCATACACTCATGAGTCAAGGATACGCAGCTTTTTCTTTCGAATGATTTTTTCGTAGAACTTCCGCTTTAGTTCTGCTTTTTCATTGTTGCCGTTATTTGCCAAGCAATTGATGGCGATACTAGACTTAATTATCAAGAAAATGTTCAAATGAAAAGAAAAAACTGAAAACGTAACACTTGACAAAATTTCAAATGGATACGGTAGAGAAAACAAAATATTCAAGGACCCACCCGATCGAACCATTATTGATCAAGTTCTTCTTAATTGTCAACTGTTCTTCGCAAAATAATGGATATTGAAAGAATAGTGCGTGAAAAATAAGCCCGATGATAATATTTGTTTGAGTCATCAATGAGACCAACGCACGTTCCAAAGCATGATCATATACTAGGATAGATAATAATCACTCTGCAATCAATGCTAATCTTTTGTTCACGGCGTCATTTCTTCACATCAGCTTTTTTTCTTGTTTCTATTCTTATTTACTGAGGTATGTGTCTTATGTTACAACTCGTGTCCTGCAGTTAGCTGTTCACAGCATCACATACTCGATGAAGAGATTTTAAGACGTTGTCTATTGATCGGAACCTTGCCTCTGCTCTCTTCCATTCTTTTTCTACTGTCATCTTTCTCGTACTCCCTCTCTGTCTTTCTCTTTCGACATGCTCGCTCGTCACGCTCTAAACCAATTTGCATCAACACTATTAGATTCTCAGAACGCAACAACCACAGCAAATGATTACGTTACTTTATCGACATCTATTTATAGTGCTCACTTTTTTCTTCTTACTTTCACAGTTTGGGATCCACATTATTCTCACTTAAATCGAGAAAGAACAAAGAACTACAGGCTCAACACACATACTTTTAATGAATAGAAACGACGGCAACGTTGACAAGAGGGCGTGAATGAATGTAATAATCACCTGTAGAGATTGAGAGGCTCATAAAAACCATGATCATCAGCATCAACATCTTTCTACTTTGTTAGTCTGTTAGGGCAAATCTATTTTGCGCATCTCTCTTCTAGCATAATAATTAGAAATAAGGTATCCAAGGCATATCAAACAAATCTTATTTATAATATCGTGTTATACATCGATTGTTAGTATTGTTACTATTACTATTGATGTTGACTGGAACGGATCAGTAGTGAAAGTGACAATTCCCTCAGTTCCTGCTTGCTTGTTTGTTGGTCTCCCTCTTGGATTCTTTAGTATTATAATTCAATTGTGTCCTTATTCGTTTGTTCGTGATATTATTGTAATCAGTAGGCACGTTCTAAATGCTTCTAGAATGTCTCTGTCTCTTTCAATGTTTGTCTCTTGATAATTGTCGTATGTTCGCCTATCTTATCATGGATGATACAGTGTTCGGCTCTTACACTAATTAGCACAAGAATATGTACACATACTAAATAGCCGTAATTGAGTCAATCATAATGAAACCGGAATATATGAATACTAGCGATATGAAATGAACATGACGAGAATTTATCATTGAATTTGTTGCGCATCTCTCGGGTCATAGTTTCTTTGATGAAATGAATGATGAATAGCAAAAAAAAACAGGCCCATCTCGACGAAGATATATATATATTTAAGACAGTCTTTTAAAAAATTGGAAGAAAAAAGATATAGCTGTGGTCTGTTAATGCTTTTACGAGCACATTGAACAAGAAAACGCAGCAATTTCAACCAACTGTAAGTATGATAGGGATCGCTATTTACTTTTCTTCTAATAATAATGATATTATCTCGGCATTCAATGCGCGTATGCTTCGCAACTAGTTCAACCAATCTGTATTTAATTGCTAGATTGTAAAATAAGCAAAGAATTGGTTCCCGTTATTGCGTTTTCAAGTTAAATTATGTTGTATTTTCTTTTAATAATGATTTGAGAAGAATCAAGGTAAAAAAAGTAATAAGTAATGTATGGAATCGTAGTGCACATCCGGGTTGCATGCATCAAAAGCTTCTCGTAATGATGTTGTCTATGTATATATTATCTTTAGGTTTTCTTTGTCTTTCAACAATAATTGTTTCCAGTAGTAGAACGATCTCTACTTTATTCATCATACATTGTATCTATTACTTTAACTTTACTCAATAATTGATCGGATAACTAATCGATATGTTTCTCAACTAATTCAAGAGAGAAAACAATAACTGCTAATTTTATCATAGACTTAAGTATTAATAATAATGAATTTTTACAAACAAGAAAATAAACGAAGTTAAACTAGAGATATCTTAAATGAAAGCAAAAAATAAATAAAATCCTTTAGTTTTGTTGTTTCTAGTTAGTTTTCCACAGTTTCTCTGTTTCTATTTCTTATCGTGTTTGTTATGATAAGATTTAAATAAGGTTCGCGGCAATATCATTATCAACAACACGAACATCATTAGTTCTCATGCGCATGCCAACCATGATTTTCTTTTCTATATTAGTCTAATAAACTTTGAAGTTCAGAGAAGAACGATAGCAGTAGGAGTGTAAAAACTAACTAGAAAATAAATCAAAATAAGCAACATACCAGTTGCCGTTTGTTGAACGTCCTGTGTCAATCATTTTTTGCCACAATCGATGATTTGGATGACCGTCTTGTAAATCAATGACTTCGGTTGCTACAGTAGTTGCAGTAACTGTGTGTACAGCAAATATGAAGATTTGATTTTGGATCCAAATTAAGTGAACTAAGAGTAGTAGTTTGAGACACATGGCACATTACGAAATAAATCGAGACTGACTATGTGTCAGCCCGGAGATGAATCATTCATCCGTATCATTGACTTTGTTCGTTCATCTGACTGTAATTTAAATAAATTTTAATGTATAAGTATAATGTCTGTATGTTTGTGCTACAAAGGAAGTGAAAGAGGTGTCGATAGAAATAAGAATGTGGGAACAAAGAAAGATGAAAAAGAAAAAGAAAAGGGCAGACTCGTTGTCGCAACAATGTATCATGCACTACGTAGTAGCCGATTTTCTATTTTGCGTTTTCATTTTTGTTGATTTCCACATATTTCTCCCTCCCCCTCTCTCTCTCTCTCTCTCTCTCCTCCCTTTTTTCTCTCATTTTTTTTTCTTTGGGAGTGTCACAAGTCATGTAGCAAGAAGAAAAGATCTTTTTTCCTCTCCCATGAACGAGAGTAATCATAATAATGGATACATAGTGATGATGAAGATGAGAGGGGGAACTGATCTTCCTTTCCCATTCTATTTATTGTATCTCTAGATTGCCTTTCTTTCTTTCTTTCTTATAGTGTCATCTTTGACGGTGCTACATAAACGCGTTGATGCGTATTCTTTCGGCACGAATTAATAATTTACTAAAAAATTTCACCGGAGATTTTTTATATCGCGATGTCACTATTAAAAATGCACGCGTCGCAGTTATCGCTCTCGATTGGATTGTAATTTTACCTAGGAGACATATAGAGAAAAAAAGCAGAACTAAAAAGATCATTATTTTTGTAGTATTCGTTTAACTTCCTACGCTTGAATGCTTGTTTCTTAACTCTGGGTTGTTTTCTTTTTTTGAAGAATTGCAAATATCTAGTCGATTTTTACGAAATCAATCGTTACATTTGTTTGAAAATGTGATGAAAAAAAACCTATTGAAATAATGATAGACGAAGAAGAAGAATAGAAGAATGCGTGAGTATCAAGGAAGCTTTTTCTTGAAAATGAATATAAACAATATTATTTTAGTTTTGTTATGACACGAGAGAGACCGGAATCTTTTCAAGTACATGTTTTTTTAAAGAGCAAAACGGCTATCTATCTATTCTAAATGCAATTAATAAAATAAAGCAATGATCTTCTTCTCGGTTCATTTATCAATAAAAACAGAAATACGATAAATTAAATCTGTTTTATTTTATACACATGTTCTATAATATAATAAATACTACTACAGGACTTCAAATGAACGAACTATTATGTATTCTATTTACAAGATTTCTTAGTCATTATCAAACGATTTGTGCATGATGTCTAAATAGGAAAAAATTAATTGTAATATACTATATGGTTTCTTTATTTTGTCACAAGTTAGTTATAATCAATAGAACCGAAAATACTTAGTTTTTACAAGGTGAACATATCAAATCAATGACACTAATTCAGATAAAATATTACGCAATATTTTAGTATACTGAGACGCTTTAAGTAGTGCTATTCGTTAGAGATGTATGTAAATAAACATATATATATGCACGCAAAAGTTACGGTTAAGCAGTGAAGAAAAGTGAGAGAAAAAAAACATAAGAATTATTCTGATCTAATTGGAATACTTTATTTTTCTAGCCACGAACGACTGAGAGAAGTGTGTTGACGACACGTCACGAAAAGGGCTATGCAATATATAGAGAAAGTCTCACACGAAGTCATAATAAAATTAAAATTAAGTTACGGTAGCTAAGATGATTGAATGTCGATGGCCTTCATCAATAAATATTGTGTTTAATCGATGAAGCCATTTGCCATTAAGCACGAGTACCACAAAAAGAAAAAAAGAGAAATCTTTTTTTTGTGCGGGTCTTACGCCTGTTAGCACAACATTTTGATGGGATAGTCAATCGTTTCTTCCGTTTTTGATAATGTCTATTGAATCAAACGGAAATCAACAGTCTCTCACATAAATTCACAATCAATATTGGGCAGAAGAGAAAATTCTAAATTGAAACAGTCCAAGCAATAAAAGAAAGAAAGCGTCTTAAGTAATTCTTTATTGAACAATTGTTTAGAATTGAATAATTCACATATCATCATTTGCTGTTCTATATTCGAAATCCATTGATTATTTTATCATTGTGGCTAAAATAACAATTGGCAACTACATCGAACGACGAATTTTACTATTCTGTCAGTCGATCTCAAGAGAATTCTATATCATATGGCGTGGCTTAAACCATCAGCTAATGCTTAAATGTATGCAAATATTGTAATGGAAAATAATCTTCTTTTGTTTTGATATTATATAAAAGTGTTTAAATATATTTCTATCGTTAAGAGTTCTCTTAGATTCTGTAAAATAAATAGTACCAGTCTCATGAATGCGCTGTCGTTTATCAATGTGAACAAGTATTCATCCTATTAGATCGGCAATTTTCGCATTCTATCAATATAAAATAGCAAGATAGATGAGCATATTTTGATAGTCTCGGAAAGCGTAATAATAGCAATCTTGCACACGCTCATCATATGAAGAAGAAGAAGAAGAAGAAAAAAAAAGAATGAATAGACAATTCGTATTCTCTGTGGAGAAAGTCAATTCTAAATTATATCAATTCTGTTGGCATTCAATTATCTACTATTCTTGAGATCAATAGACTTGATTGAAATATTTCATATTTGGATCAATCATTTCCTGTACATACACTATAACGTGTTTGTATCTTCGATTGAATTGATATAATATAAGAGAAATATGTTACACTAAAGGATAATTATCGAACACTTTTTATCTTATCATTTTCAAAATGAATGAAACTATGTTGCTAATAATTTTATTAATATAAAATTTGTTATTTTAATTCAACAATATCGATATGATATTCATGATTGACTAATTTTGATAGAGTGAAAATAAAGTTCGTTAAATGTAATGAAAGCAACCTATTCATTATTATATTAAAAAATCAAGCGTAGATAATAACAAAAAAAAATTAAAAAGAAACCACTGAGATTGAAATATAGGCAACCAAAGAAAAAAAAATCAAGAACAACGAATTCTTTATCATAAAAGACATAATTCAAGCACACAGAGAACAACTGTAATTTGTTTGTTTTAACGGACATTATATTTGATAAAATAAGAGGAAATTGAAAAATTAATTGATCAGCATGCTATATGTATATATCTATATATAGATATAGATATATGCTAACATCCAAACTGAGAATACGCCTAATTCCGGATTTGTCTAAGCAAAGTTTGCATTTGAAATTGAACGTAATCTCTACTTGGCAGTTAACATATATAAAAACATATACACATATATCACAGTTTTATTGGTTATGATTTTGTTCAGAAATATCATCAGTACTGTTTGATGTTGTGCCAGTATTTGTCACAGGCGTAGCTTCTTCACCGTCATTATGTGTGAGTGCATGAGGAGATTGCTTTTTAATTTGCATACGGTAAACATACGTATCTTCAGTCGATTCAACACAACCAGAATTCAAATCAAATGATCGACCTTTCGTAGTTAATGATGTGGCTGCTGGAGGTGGACTCCACCATGATATAATATCTAATTGAGTAAGCAGAACATAAATTAACATATCAATTCATTTTTCATGTTTATTTCCTTACTTGAAATGACTGGTAATTGTCTTAAAAGACCTTCTTGTGCAAGTATCTGCTGATTTTCATTTTCTAAATCTTTTTGAACCTTTTCAATGCCAATTTTGATTTTTTCGGCCATATCTTCAACATATTTTAATGACGTTTCCGTTTCTTTACCACTATCTGCTATCTTTTGTAATAATACATCGAGATCATCGCATTTTCTAATCATTCCTAAACGTAAATAAAACATTGAATCATGTTCATTTGTTCCACCGCCCAATGAAAATGCCGAATCATTGACTTGTAGTTTTCTTGCTAATTCAGCTTGAATTGTATTTATATCATACGTTGATAATTCGGATTGTTCCTGCATATTAATATGACTCGGTATATAACGAATCGCTCCAATACCTGCCCAATTAGGTACTGAAATAGAAACTATATTTTCATAGTTCGCTACACTTGATGGAAGTCGTACGCGTGCAGCCATAGTAGCAAGAAGAATATCACTGTAATGTTGCATATCATCTGTAAAAGCTTGAACATCGAGAACATCGATAATATCTACTAAGTGTTCTAACGGAGCAAATCGAATAGCATGGGCTGGCGTTCGTTCTGCACTGTTATCAACTGGCTTTAACATTTGAAAATGAATACCTTTAAGTAATTCTAGATTCATTTTTGGATATTGTTGAGAGAGTTTATCGAATAACCAAAGATTAAGAAGATCAATATAATTATATAAAGCATCGAAGTCTCCAATCTAAATAATTGCTCGAATAAAATATGAACAAATTTAATCTGAATAATTTAATTTAGCAATTCGAATTGAATACTATGTTAGATAGAGTTGTATCTATGAATTTAAATTATTCTGTCGAATTTTGTTAAAGCAAAATATTTTATCCATAATCTATTGGTGATTCATGAATTCAACATAGCTAAAAGTTATCTTTTAGTTGTTACATTTAGAGAGATAATGTTTTCCTATCGATTTATAAAGAATTCATTTATCTCGAATAAAAAGCATGATTACATCATCAAGGTCTGCTATCACCTTTTCTATTTCAGATATTTATGAGTGTAAATGATAGTTAACTTCAGAAACTGGCCCAATTTCATAGCGCACAGAATCATCCGCTCAAATACAATATCAGTTGTTAAATGTCGTATCTCATAGCGCATCAACCTATATTCTTTGCTTCCCAATAGTGAAAATTTATTTTTCTTTAAAATATTTTCAACTAAAAAATCAGACATGTTCAAACATGTCTGTTCCTGTTATACATTGAATCATACACAAACAGTATTTACCGATTTGTGTCGAGTAGCCTATTGATTTTTTTTTCTATGTTTGGCACATACTTTAATATACATATAGACATAAGATCAAATAGTTTTAGACATTGTAGATTATCGACAAACGAAATAATTTTAGTCGTCGAATGAGGAATATAAATAAACATTTTCAAATGCATTTTCGTTTCTTTTTTCTAGTGAACAAAACTAATGAAAAAGTAAACAAAATTGATTTCTGTTGAATAAATGCTGGAGTCGATATATTTTAGAGGACAAAAAAGTCAAATGGAGTTTATGCATGATAGCTGAAGATTCTCTTGACCCTAAAGTTGAGTCTTTTCAAAATTCAACCAACAAGTTACATAACCAAAATGGCATAAAAAGTAGAATACAATTCATAAAACAGCAGAGCAAAAAGCTAAAATTCAATCAAAGTTGACCTTGACAATATTTTTTAATTTTTTGTTTTATTCACTATTGACAAATTCATTTTTAACCATTCGTATATCAATACATAGAAAAATGTTTGTTCTAATACAGAAACTAAAATATACTTATATTCAATGAACAATATTTTCTCCTGTCCAATAGATTCCTACTAATCGATTAGAATTCGCTGATTTTTAACACGAATTAAACTGTCTATTTCTATTTTCAATAAAATCTATCTGATTAGAGTAAAAAGTTTTTGAGAATTCCTCATTTTAAAACTATGAATGTCTTCCATAGAGAACGCATACGATAAATAATATCAAACAATAAACTTCCGCTATACAGTGAAATCATAAGAAAAGTATTTCTAATTGATAGAAAAAAATCGTGGAATAGTCGAATATCATTGGTATTTATATTAAGAGAATTCTCAGTTTCTAAGTAAATTATCAATTAATTAAATATTTCATTAGAAGCGATATTGATCCCATCTTAATTTATATTATACCAGATATTAATTTTCTCAAGTTTTATCCGTAAAAATAGTTTCAGAAGTCTATCGCTCTTGCATATATGTAACTAGTTATATAGATATATTAATTAAATGTTTCTAAAGAATAAAAAGAAGCAAAATATACATACGTTTGGTACATCAGTAGTTTGAAAACGAAAAATAACCATAGTTTTTGGTAATGGTTCATCGGATACATCACCTGAACAAATACGTTTATAAGTAAAAACTCCTTGATTATCATCATCAGTCAATATTTTTAATGTTTTAATCTTTTTTAAATTTTTCATCAAAATATTTGATAACTCAAATGAACGTTTCATATGATGAAGAACATCATTGTTTGAACACCGCTGACTAATAGACCATATACTTAAAAAACTAATTGATGGGCTATGTAAAATAACATCATCAAATGAATGAGACATTGATACATTATTAATATTTAAAACTGTTGCTGTTGATGATGATGATGATATATTTGTACTTGCTGTTGACTTTGTAGATAAATTATCAGTGCTTAATTGTTCATCATGTGTAGAATTAAAGTCTATTTGTTTATCTTGTTTTTTATCACTTGCCGATCGAATCAAAAATGTTACATATGGTAAATTTTGAATGCCAAATAGTTTAACAATATCAATCGTTAGACTATCACAACTGAAGTTCACATTTTCTTTAATGATTGAGAGCAACATTAATGAACCCAATAAATCACCTATTGCATGAAGCCAAATATTATGTTGGTTACAAATTTGTTTTATTTTAATCAAATCATCACAACGACCCAATAATGTAGTGCCTAAAGAAAGTCAAATATTTGAAATGTTTCATTGTGCTTTTCCATTGCATTTCATTGAAAACATACCTATATTGGCAATGACCATAAATGGATACGAATGTGCGTCATTTAAATCTTGTTTAATTGATTCTTCAAGTTTCTGAACATCAATCATATCTTCATGTGTGAAATCATTTTGTATATGTTCAAATTTAATGTTTGATATTGACGATAATAAATCATTTTTTAAATTTTCATCAAAATCCATCGATACATAAATAATAGCTTTTTTTATTGATAAATCATTGTCATAATGAACTTGTTTAAGTGTACAACGGATTACACGCACAAATGCTTCCGAATAAAAAGTTGAATAAAGTAATGTCTCACAGTTAATATGAAATAACTTTCGACACCATTCAATGATTTCATTTTGATATTTTTGTAAAACAGATGCTTTTATGTTAAATGGAAGTGTATCAAAAAAAGCAGATATCTATAGGTAACAAAAGAAAAAAAATTACGAAGAACTTCCTATATGATTTGATTCATTTTTTATTTGTTCTCACTCACCATGGCGACGTCACCGACACATTGCAAGTATTTATTCCATACAACTTGAACGCATTCTCGAGCTTCTTCATCATCTTGTAAAAATGATAAGCAATAAGATATAAAATCATTTTTAGTTTGATTATTTAATTCAGCTAGTTGATTTGAATAATTCGCATCTGCGTCATAATTAGCATCATCATGCATACTATTTGTCGTTATTAAACCTTTTCCAGACGATGATTTTAATCGTGCTGATGAATCAGTTATTCCGTTCATATTATGTTCAGTTTTATCGTCCATGTTTGTCAGTTTAGAATATGGTTACACAATATGAATTGTATTTTTCTGTGCACCTTTAATTGATTCAATAAACAATCTGAAACAATAATAGTAAAATGAAGAAATTATGAGCATCCTTGTGTCACTTGATAACGTGTATGGTGCTTATAGAAAATTGTAAATTTACATACTTATTTGAATCTCATATATGTATTTTGAATACAATGCTTTAATATGAATAGAATCAATGCCAATCGTATAGGTTACCTTATAACTGCTTCGTCTCGTTCTTTCTTTTCTTTTCTTTTCTTTTTTCATCAGGTAAAAAAGAATGAGGACGTGGCAGTTGAAAGAAAGAAAAAAGAAGTAAGCGCATGGCGTGTTTGTCTTTCTTTTTCGTGATTAGAAGAATAAAATTAAAGTAAAATTTGAGTTACTATAATTTATTGATCAAATTTCACATCAATGGGACATGTTTAATGTTCAGTTCATAGAATAGAATGAAATGAGTTTAACGTACAGTTCATAAATATATAATTAGTTCTACATTATTGTACGACAAGGGCGGAGGATATGTGAGACTATTTATGATATAAATAAAAAAACATGAACAAGGAAATGTCACATTAAATTAGTACAAAAAGCGTATCGTTTTATTTATTACTCTTTTTTTGTAAAATAAAATGGGAAGATCTATGGAAAGTCAACAGCAAGGTTGTACATGAAAGAAAATTCTTAAGCGCATTATCTTTTAGGTAAATTATATCCCAAAAATACGAATGTAAATCTTATATGAATAGAACGAAGCAAATTGAAGTGATCTGTATGACTTTCTTAGCGATTTTGTACTGAAACATTACAAGTGTTTTTTTCTGTATACTTTAAGATCGATTGTTTGTACTGGTTAAAATTAGAATAAATTAATTTTATCGAACGGTGAGTTTTAATGGTTTGTTGTTGTGGCAAAAAGAAATTTAAGCAAAATTTCTTGCTACAAACGGCAAACATCAAGAGTGATAATAAGAATTTTCAAAGTTTGTGAAAAATGGTTATAGATAATCGCCTGAAAGAATATTAAAAATGACATACGATCAATGGAACCCGAGATGAAAATGTGGACATGTAACTATTGAAAAGTTGGTTTATTACAATAGCCTGTTGTATTCTAGAAGCATTAATAGGCTCTATGATCTATCTCCGTTTGAATAATTTATTCAAACACATAGAAGAAACATCAATGAATATTAGACATACAAAAAGATTTATTACCAGTCAAAATAATAATCAATGCATTCAACATAGATTGTTGTGAAAATAATTTCTCAAAAATTTGTTTTTCGGATTTTCAAAACGATAGATTCAAGTGGATGTGAGTCCTTTTGAACGTTGAGTGTGAATCATGTTCGATTGAATGATACTAATATAATTTCTTTTTACTAATAAAACAATGAAATCATTTGGAATGCCTAGAAGATATTAACATGAGCTCTGCGAATTGATATTCGAAATACAGTGTGTAGCTTAGAATACCTTCCATTTTTCATGATACGATAAGAGACTTCATTATAGAAGACATTCATTTGTTCAGTGTAATGTAATAAGGAAACTTTCTAATTAATTCTATCTATCTATCTACTTCGACTGATATGAGAAAAGAGATTAAAAATGTCGGTTTACTGTCTAACACTAGAACATATGACAATGAAAGAAGCTCCAAAGAAAACAATGATCTATAATTAGTGAAGTAATAAAGAGAAAAGATTTACACCTAATGTTTAACGTATACCTTAGAACATCAGGTTGGAAAATAATCACCGATGAAGAACTATTAAAACAGGAGCATTGATATATGTGAAGAGAGACAGCAATTGATTGAGGTGTATAAAAATCATTCGTTATGAGCATGAACTGTTAATAGTTGTCGAAAGAAAAAGTATGAAGACAATTAACTAACGAACAGCTTATCTAAAATGAAGAAAGTAAAATTATGTCTTTCTAATAAAAAAGTGTGCTGAAGAAGAATTTAGCATAAGAATACATAAAATGTATGAGCGTGTCGTTTTGGGAAATCAATAATATTCAAATGATTGATAAAGGCAAGCAAGAAGTTCGTTTTGTATTTTCCATGCTTTCAAAAATAAATAGAAAGCAACTTCTCACGCATGTTTTTGTTTATTTTAAAACCATGATAATCTATCTGAATGTAGAATATCGTGGCCTTTAACTTTGTTTAATTTTATGATATTGATGAAGTTCTCATACACATCAAGCACTACTATCAAAAATCGTTCATTTCGTCGTGGCAGTCAAGTTGCAACAAGAGCGATGCCAATCTGTTTCTTGGAGTCATACTCTATAACAAGGACGCCAGTAGATGTCACCAAAAATTATATTTTATAATGCTAAAGTAACCGTATGCGATTTGAGTCCTGAAAAAGAAATGCAATTAACTGATAGTAAACTATTATACACTTGATTACTTACTTGGGCTGGCGTTCTGCGATTGTATGTTACGAAGCAGAGGTTCAACCAGGCTGCGTTTTTGCAGGCCTATGAATTCCAAGGCTACATGTGCCTGCCAACGTATTTGTTTGGCCTGGCCTGTCTGGAAAGGCCTGCCTATTTTTCTTTTATGTCAATACCATTACCAGAGGTATCGCAAGCAATCAAACATTGGGAAGGAGTAGCTAGTGTTACCAGGTCTTCCGGATTTGAAAGTTTTTTTCAAGATTTTTGCAGAATTCTTTCTAAGTTTTCAGAGTTTTTTCTAAATTTTTTGAAATTTCCGAGATCTACCTAGATTTTTTGGCATTTCTTCTAGTTTTTTCGGGAACTTTTGAGATTTCTTCATGATTATTTCTAGTTTTTACAGAGATTTTCGAGTTTTTCAGCTGGGGATAACTTATAACATCGTGCTTAGCATTGTATAAGTTTCATTTTGTGACATACAATGCAAGACAATTTTTCGAATATTGCAGGTGTGTGTGTGTGTGTGACGGCACAAGCGTCACGAGTGTTATCTTAGTGCCTGTTTGTTTCTTTTTCTAGCTTCCCTCTCTTTTTCTGTTGTTTGTTTTTGCACCTAATGTTGTCAATTCATTATTCTTATTCTTCTCTTGTTTCATCAAGCTTCTTCATATATCTCTCTTCACTGAGATATTCCTATACTCATTCTTTCAATACCTTTTGTTCATCATTCGAACGTATCTTCTCTGACTACTATTTTTCTTCTCTATCAAAAAGAATCATCTTTTTGATTAATTGCATATTACCTTTCTTTCAACTTGATTGTTCCCTACAATCGTTCCAACTCGTGTCAGCTACTTGCTTGTGGAGTTCTTCTTATTCTCAACTATTTGTGTTCATTGAATAAACTATTGGATCTTCATTCAATATTCAATACTATTTTATTTCCATTGTTGTCATTCTGCCATAACCAGTACTGTAGCAACTGGCATTGTTATTAGTTGCGTCTCTGATTCTTATCAAAGCGTTACAGGGGAAGGTGGGACGGCGGTCAACTCCACACACCCACACCCACACCCAAAAACGAATAGAGAATTCTCCATTCGTTTTTCGAAACTAATGCTGAAATCGTGTTCTACCTCTAAGACGTGCAAATCACTCAACCAAGCATTCGACGTTGTATTACGTGCGGTCGTTTTTATCAATTCATTTTGCTAAATATTCTTTTGCACCTGATAAACGAAACAGGTATAGTCATAGCAGCAGCGACAAGAAATATAACAGTTGGAATTGTCTGTTTCAGTGACATTCAAGCAGAGAAAAAATTTCGAAAACGCGTTTAAACGCACAGAGAACGACGAAAAATCGAGAAAAGTGGGCATGTTTGGATGACAATAGAGGTTCCCAATTTTAAGCGAAAAACGCTCATTGTTCGCTCCAATTGTGCATTCAAACGTGTCTACAGCTCACAGTTAGGATCCCCGATTATCATACAAGCACACCCACTTTTCCTGGATTTTTTCCTCTTTTTTGTACATTTAAAAGTGATTTTCCAAATTCTTCTTTCTTTGGGAAATGGTTCAGCGTAGAGGTCATTACTGTTTTATTTTGAACCTTTTAACATCTGCTTCCGAACTTAAATTCCATTGTATAATGAGGAGAGATTAGTTTTCATTTCTAATGCAAAAAGTTTTACTATCGACTGAAAAAGAATGTAACCGTGCAGTTTTTTATTGTGTCTAGCATTATAAAAAATCATTTTTTTCTAAAAACAACCAGTGGTAGGGCTCGCATCTCCAGTGGGTAGGCTGAGTCCAACCATGCCCTACCCTGGTTACGTCACTAGCCCACACCTGCTGACTAAACCCTTTCAAATAATACTTACTGTTCCTTTTGTTATTACGACTAGCCTAAGTAAAAGAAATTAAAAACCTTATTTGTTTTATCATCATAATAACCTATTATTTTGTATTTGATTTTCAACTAAAAGGGTAAAATGAAAAATTATACTTACGTATGATTTTCAATTTTCTTTTCTATCCAACTAAAAGGCTGAAAGAAGTAAGTATCTAAAACAAATGATGCTTGCATTTGATGGGATCGCTTCGAAAAATCTAAATCAAAAACGATTGATTCACGAAAATAATAATTGCATACAATTTTTTATCTTACTCATGAAATTCTTCGAGATTTACGAATAAATACTTAGGTTTACTATAGACGCCTCACCTACATAAAACAAAGTTTCATTTTGTTTTTCAGGCTGATCTAATTTATGGAGAATGACAATCGTTTAAAATGAGGTTACAAGCTATTGCAACATAGAGAGAGAGCGAGCTGTTATTCTGTTTCTCACTAATCTTTGTTTCTATTCTACGATTTCCTATCTAATCATAAAAATACTTGATGAATAGTGTTACCAACCAGAAAAGTCAACATCATTTTGATATATATATGTTTAACGTATCTGATTTGCATTCAGTGAAAAAAATCTATTTTATGGAAGGGTACAATAAGAAACCGTTTGAATACACGGATCGAACAATAAACCTTTCATTGTAGAATCATAAATCCTTCTCCTTAAATTCTGGTGCAATAAATCCTTTTTATTTTCAAATATCCCAGGTCGAACAGTCCGGCCGGGAAACGGTCGGTTCCGAGTAGTTCCGTTGATTTTGTGAAAGCAGTATTTCGGTTGAAAAATTTTCGCATTTTTTCCAGTGATTTCCGATCAATTCCTGTCGGAAAGCACCGGAACTTGGCACGAATTATCCGGAAAAGTCCGGCCGTATTTTTGACCGGAATACTGCTTCCATGTTCCCACGATTTCCCGTGTTTTCCTGCAGGATATGGTGACTTTTCCGCATATTCCCTGGAGTATCCTACAGAATCCGGTGGCCGGAATGTTCGACCTGGGACCCTTACCCAGGTCGTGGACGTACGGCGGGAAACGGCCGGAAAGCACAGGAAAGCGCTGGAAACTGGAAGCAGTATTCCAGTTGGAAGTTACCGGATTTTCTTCCTGTAGATTCCGATCAACTTCCAGATGTAAAACACAGAAAAATGACCGGAAAACACAGGAAAAAAATCCGGTAACTTCCAACTAGAATACTGCTTCCAGTTTCCAGTGCTTTCCCATGCTTTCCGGCCAGATACGGTGATTTTTCCGCATCTTTCCGGCCGGTTCCTACAGTATCCGTCCTCCGGAATCATTGACCTGGGTAGTTTCATCAACGCTTCAGGCAATTCGTATACACTTTTAGAGTTTTGGACGAAAACATAAACCATTTTAGGGTTTATAAAACTTATTTTCTAGTACTAGAGTTTAGTATTCTACGATTTTTTTCTAGTGCACACACCCACACTATAGGGACGCAACGGTGACGGTGTATCACCGGTTCACCGTCCACCGGTAACCGGTCGTACTAAACTAGCTCTGATTGGAACTAGTTGCTAAAGGCAACAATTAGTTTTGGTCTCCCATGGTTTCAACAGCACTTTAGCGACCACAAATGTAATTATTCAAAGTCAAAATTTTAAGTTGAGGATATATTAATGGCGCTGGCCATTTCTCTTTCTTTCAGATATTTTCTTAAGAATTGCTGATAGTGGAGTTGACATGCAGGTGATTTAACTGCATTGAGTACTCATTGACAGATGCTATATACATTAATGCGATTGCCTAGATAAAGATGGATCGTGTGATAGTCTTTTTGTACTTTAGACGACTTCATCAGCATAGTTTCTACATTATCTGAGATCATCATACTCATGTCTAAATAGTTGATCACAAAGTTCAAAGTTTTGCAAAATTCTACTAGAACTGCTATATAATTAAAATTATTTACTTGAAAATTGATTGTTATCTATTGAATAAGTACTAGGAATGAAATATCAATTGAAGGAAAAATTATTTTTCGAGAATATATGTTATTTTACAAGACAAAATAGAGAAAATTTATTTTTATGCGATATACGCCTAAACGTCTAATGTTTGCCAAATGAAAAGCATCTATGTTATTAGTACCAACAAATTCGCTGTTTTCTCCACTGTACGCTGCCTTTTTGCATAGGTGTCTAATTTTTGTTATGGAAGAAATTCATCAAAGAAAGTAGGTATGTACTATATAAATCTATTCTATGATAGGAGTCTGTTGGAATTCTTGAATGAACTGGCTAGTACCATTGTTGAAACCTATCTCCTTGGAATACAAAAATTATGGCCAATTTGAGAAGTATGACACAAACAGAAGCTTGAAATTAGAATATGAAATATCATCTGCTTGTGCATGATTGCGTTCATACATATTGAGAACAATATATCAAATATGACATTCTTTCTTCGTCTACAATAAAACATGGATTTTCGTTTCTTCTAGTACTATTTTGGTCAATTAAAACGTGTTTGTGCAGTCTTTTACTTAATTATATTATAAGGCTGACGGTCAACATGAATACGCGTCACAATGCAATACTGATGTTTTTTTTTCAGTAGAAATTCTATCGTAAACATGATTGTATTATGCAAATTGAACAACGTCACCCTACATTAGAACTATAGATGCAACAAACACAGTCATTCATATACAATACTAATGATAGTACCTACAAACGCTGATCAACAAATTCACTGCAAGTCAATAATATTAAAAAAAAATATAAGTAACTCGGGGAAAGCTGATTAAGTTTTGCTTGTTTCTGAAAAATAGACATTATATTAAATTAGAAATAGGAATTAAGAGAAGTAGAAGAAGAGAATAGAATAGGAAAGAAACATCGTTTAGAAAAGAAAATTATCGCTTTCTTGTGAATATGCATCATGTCAAGATGATTCTATGTGTAAGTATAAAAAAGAAGTAGCTTATAGTTAGCATATCTTTATGTCTCTCAGCTAGATTTAGTTCATTTAGTACTTTTAGGCATATCTTGAATAGGATGCAGATCGACTTCCATCGTTGCCACTATATTGACCATAACCACTTCGACTGCCATTTTTATTTGAATATGATGCACGATAGGTTGTTGTATAAGCTCCTAAAAAGGATTACCTAGTCGGTAATTTTTTTTTATAGATCTTTGAAAAAAACAAACCTGGATAGTTGGCAGTCGTTGTACTATATTGTTGTGTCGGTTCGGTATGACTCAACTGTGGTTGAGGTGATTGACATTCATAACAATTTGAACTTCGATACGATTGTGCTTGAACCGTTTGAGGTCGATGATTTGTCAAATATTTTGAATAATCCATTGGTAAGTCAGTTATTCTGTCAACCATACGTACCTCACTGTGAACCAAAATAAAATATAAAAATATGATATTTTTCTTTTTGATCATTGTCCTACCCCATAGTACTGGTGGCATTATGCGACCGAGGATCGGCACGAAAAACACCTTCATCAATAATAATTTGTTCATGATGAGCTTTTGGTTGTTCATATTCAATAATCACATTTTTCGGTGGTCGAATACTATAAGATAATTTTACAAAGAAAATCCATCTATACATGATACATGAAATTTGCTTATGTTCGCTTACAATTCAATGGGTGCTGCTCTTTCCACAATGACCGGTCGTTCTTTTGTTTCTTGATAAGGTAACCATTTTTCGTAGATTACTTGACGTGGTTTTGGAGGCGGTGGTGGAAGTCGTTCAACAATCACTTGCCGAGGTGCTGCTGGTGGTGCTGGTAAAATTCTCTCAATGATTTGCGGTTGTTGTTGAACGGGTGGTGTTGGTGGACGTTCACCTAATATTCATTAATAATAATTTAAGCTAACAGAAAAATAAAATGATTAACTAACGAATAATAAGAGGAGGAGGAGTTGGTGGTGTAGGCGGACGTTGGCGCACAACCACTGGTGGTAGTGGAGGTGGTGCTGGTGCTTGTCGTTCCTAAATGTATACAGAACTAAATTGAATTTGTATTGTTTTAGGTATTAACCTTGATAATAATTGGTGCTGGTTCAGGCCCAGGTGGTGGTTCCAAAAATCGTACGTTAACTTGTTGTTTATAATGAATACTTTGATCACTTGGTTTTATCACATGTAATGGTTCGCTGTCATTTTGAACATTTAAGTATTCAAAACGTCCGTCAGGTGAAATAACTAAGTACCAATGAGAGAAATTATTGGAAAGTCTATTCAGATAAATTTTTCAAACCTTCTTGTGTACGATATTGTGGATGTTGATAATGGTGACTTGGACCAGCACGAGAAAGAATTTCATTGCCAAATCGTTCGTCATGAATAACATTACCTGCGCTACGCATTGCTGATGTATCATAATTGTTACCGTAGCTCTGGGATCGTTGTTGCGTATTACTAGTGAAATATAATGTGAAATAAAAGTATTCTATGTAAATGTTTATAATAGAACAACAATAAAGGGTTCTTATTGGTACATTAATTGCAAAATAGAATAAGATTTAGGCCTACTTTATTCATAGACTAGAGAAATAAATGAATCTTTATATTAAAAGCATTTTATTCGTTTCCAGACTTTTCTACACGTGATGAGTCGTGTCTACAATAGTCAATTCAAAAGAAAAGTCACATCGTACTCATTTTTTTGTTCTTTCGATGAAAACAGTTTGTTGTTTTTAAATAAGCAATCAAAGTTAGAAAAACATAAAAAGACGAAAGAAGGGTAAGAGGCTCGAAACTCGACAACCACTTACCTTGACATATAAGTAGATGTAATGTATAAGAAGAGAAAAAATCAATTTTATAAATTCTTCGAGAAAATGTTCGATTGAAATGATGCAACATATCAAAAAGAAAAATTTAATAGAAATAATGATTACCCTTTGTTTGTATCTTTTAATGCTGAATTATATGAAGTTGTTGCTGAACGATATTTATCCAAAAAACTAGATTTAGATCGATATCGATGATCATAACCGATTCGATCTAGTGATTTTTTCGACTGTCGTTTGCTGGTACTTCCCTGATATTGTACAGGAATTTGTTCTCGGTGAGTACGTGACATATATCTTAAAGTCTGACTGTCTGCTGAGATTTATTTTTAAAAAATGGACGTAAGATTTCACAATATGAGACACATAAAGGCGTATTAATTCTCGTTCTTTTTCCATCATGATATGACTATTTCGAAACTATCTCATTCCCTCTCTCTCTCTCTCTGAATAATAAATACGATTATTTTCTTCTTTCTAGACGGTACTTGATATCGTGTTTTGCGGAGATGATAATGTTTTACAAGAATATTACTATTTGTATCTTACCCATTTGCTGTGTTTAAATTGTGACGATATTTATCAAGAAAGGAACTATAGCCATTATATCCTTGTTTACCAGATGCAGCCATCGATAATTTCTTATGACAAAATTATTTTCTATCTTAAATGATGTTTTCTTTTTTAACAATGAAGTATACAGTGCAATAAAAACAATAATAATGAAGAAGTAAAGAAGAAAAACTTCTTTTTCTTTTTCTTTTTCGAGGCGAAGATATAGTGAAGTTATTTAAAGAGAAAATGCGAGAAGCCATAACTACCAATACTCTTGGCAGTAATGTTTTAAATGCCTGTGGCTGGTTGCTATTCAACGTAAGCCTCCGTTAGCGAATACGTAGTTAACAAATGCCGTGTCGCTCCGTGTATCTTTCTTTTTACATATCTTTAATATTATTAGCGGTATTTTCAGTTGCTTAGTAACCAAAAAGAACGAAGAGAAGAAAGGAATTCCGATGTTTCTCTTAGCAAATATACAAAATGAAATGTAAAATTTAGAGAGAATCGCTCAAATTCATGCTCGATTTCTTTTTCGTACTCGTCGATTGTTGTTTTTTCTCGCTACTTATAACAACAAAAAGGCTGTTTACTATTCGTAAAATCTAATTCTTTTCATATATGTGATTAAAATTATGTCATGTATGCTACGTATAACAATAAAGAATCTTTATGGCCTCTTTTTTTCTTTTTTTCTTCTGTTAAACGAAAACGGCAAACGCTCATAACGCACAAGTGAACAAAAATAAAATCAGTACAACACACCAGCAATTAATATAATACAGAAAACGAGAGCAAAAAAAAGCAAAATAAAATCTGTCCCAGTAGAAATGCACAGTATAGAATAACTCAATCAAAATATTTAAATTGATGTCAAATTGAGCACATTATGTGATTGATGTAAACAATAATTTGAATAGCCTGAGAGAGAGAAAAAGAAACAATCTTTTCGTTTCTTTTTTCAAGAGCAATAAAACTGCCCTTTGTTGATTCGTATCCTAAAGGTTTTTTTGACTTGATCACGATAGGCAGACGATCAAATTTTCTTTATTATTTTAAAATCGTTTCGTTTAATCAATTGGCAATTCAAATCAAGTTTTATGATATTATTTTGTATAATCGACCAAACCAGATGGATCTACGTATGAGAGAAAGAAGTCATTAACGATGAAAATAGTTTTAATTATTTCTAGTAGTAAAAAAAAGTCATTCATTTATTCTATGTTAAAGTATAAATTAAATTGATAGGATCGTAATTGAAATAAAAAAAACAATTAACATCTACGATCATATGATTCTCTGCAACATTTAAAACAAATTATTTACAATCCCTGACTTTTGTTTTATTGTATAGAATTTTCAAGAATGTTTCATTCAATGTCAACTCGAATTCAACTAATGCCTACTGGCGTTCATATCACAATGATGATAGTTTATAGATAGATTTTTACACATGCCCACACACGCTCACACTGAACTATAGTGAATAGCTTGTTTTGATTAAAGTTGTTTTGTTTAGTGTAAAAGCGTCTTTTTTCTCAGAGAGCTTAAATTTCTTCCTTGATCAAGCTCATTAAATTACATGAAAACTGATCTCATTGACTGATGATTATTTCGATTTCTATTATTTGCAAATTGCAAATAACACAAACCTTATTAAAGAAGAAATTAATATGAAAAACATGTTTTCAAAAATAGAATAATATTCTTCAGTAAGTTTTAATTGTGATTCTCGATTATTCATCTTGATTAATAGAAAAAATCCAGCATTTCGATTAGAAAGTTAACTATTTGATCATGAATACATTCAATCGAGAAAACACTATTCTCGATAATAGCTCTTCACGAATCTGATTATTATTTATGATCCGGTTTAATAAATCTTTACTTTCTTTCTTCACTGAAACAACTCGATCAATTAAAAACATGTAAAAGTAATATTTATGAGACACTTCGATGTATGCTAACCAATTAGCCCTAAGGAGAAGCACTCTAGCTATGATAAAAAATCATTTTACCTATTGTGTTATAGTGCTCTGAACTTTGTTTTACAACAGGCATAGTCAATAGAAATTGAGCGATTACAAATGAATATTTTTAGTCGATGTTCTTTAGAAAACATTTCAAAACGGAATCTAAATTCGCATCAGCTGTCATCGTATGTTTCCACCAAATTTTGGTCAAGTAGAATTTGTTGGCTTTCATTGAATAGAAATACACAAATTTAAGGGAGTAAACCATTAAGGTCATAAATGCTTTGAGGGCTTCACAGTAACTTACTCATAATTACATCTATAAAGTCAATGCCAAAAATAGAAGCCAGTTGACTTTAGATTTTTCTGACTCAAATTTTAATTCAGAATGGTATTCAATAGTCTCACCACACTTATTTGATAGAAATTAAAAGCTATCTATCTGTATGTGGCATTCATGTCAAATATTTCAATCGTCGTAATAGTATTCAAAAGTTTCCCTTTTAATGTTACATTGTTCATAGTTCATTATCGTGATCAATAAATCGTTGTGCAGTAAGTAATGAGTACTGCTTTCCTATATGATTTCATTCATAAAAAGAATCCAATCAATAAGGTATTACGTAACTTTTTACTTTCATGACCAACGTTATCAGATAGTTATGCTGTTGTTGTTGTTGATTCATGATCCATTGTTGCTCTATCCATTACTAGACTTATAGAATTACAATAAAGTGCATAACACGTAGTTTAAATTTCTATTTGCTGATTCGAATGTCGTAAATAATAAAAAAATTACAAGGAAACTCAATGCCTCAAGCACCTCTTGAAGTACTCTTCTTCATATTGATTCAACGATACAACGTGCTTAATGTGTATGAACAAAACATGTAAGATTTCTAACAAAGATATCAATTTAAGCCTGTTAGGTTGTTTTTCTGTTCTTACTTAAACTTACATATGTCAATTATCGCACTTTTATTTTTCAGCCGATACTGCTTTCATGCATTATTAAAAAAAATAAAAAGCGTGAGAGGTTCTTTTTGTCATCTAATGTATGTTTGAGAATCATTCACTAACAAAGTTGATTCCTATCTAACGGGTGGGCCATAAAGAATTACACTTCTTTGTTTTCGCTATAACTCAGTCAGTTTTGATGCTATTGGCCAAAACGTTTTTCAAAAAGATTCGTCATTCAATTCTCTACAAAACCATATGTAAATGATTTTTGTAAACTACCAAACGGCGAAGTTCTAAAACGAAGAGAATAGGTTTCGAAAATGTTCAACTTTCAAGCTCAAAAACCGTTTTTTTCTCAAATTTGCTTTCTATGAAAGAGCTACGAAGGAACTAAGACGACCATCTTAAAGAGCATTAAATTCTAGACAAGATTCATGTCTTTGAAAATTTTCTTGATTAAAAAACTGTAAAAAATTCAGGATAAATTTTTTCACTTTTTTGGAAAAACTCAACTTTCATTCCATGTTTTGCTGGTTGCACCAAAACGCATGCAATTTAGTAAGAAAACGTTCTTGTTTGACGATTTTTTTTTCTTTAAACTTCAACATACTAGACTATATCTGTGCACACTCGTTCGAGTCATTCAAAGTTTTGCTTGCGATTGCTTTTCGTGAAAACCTCAATTGAGACGCTTCGGACGAGTTGTCGGAAAATATCGACTTAATACGTGAAGGTCACTTTGAAAGAAAAGCTTTTCAAGGATATCGGAAAAAGCGTATTTGAAAATGCTAGAAAATATT